GAGACTCAAGCTAGTATTGGAGGAAATTGGTAAAGATTAAAAATGAGCTGCAAGAAGGAACCAGAAAAACTTTATGCTGCTAAGAGTGGATATAAATGGTTGATTGGGGATAAACAGAAATACAGGGCTGCTGAGATCATTTGGAGTCCTTATAGCCTTCCTAAACACAGCTTTATAAGTTGGTTAGCCTTGAAAGGTAGATAATGGACACTTGACATGCTAGCCAAATTGAATATGGTTTCGGGTTCTCTGGAATGTGGTGTCTGTAATGCAACTGAAGAGAGCATTGATCACCTATTCTTTGGTTGTCCATACTCACAAGGCTTGCTGCATGAACTTTTCAAATGGTTGCAGGTCAAGTTGCCACTAATCAACCTGAGAAGTGGTTTGGTAACACAGAAAAACCTTATGCTGCTAAGAGTGGATATAAATAGTTGATTGGGGATAAACAGAAATACAGGGCTGCTGAGATCATTTGGAGTCCTTATAGCCTTCCTAAACACAGCTTTATAAGCTGGTTAGCCTTGAAAGGTAAATTATGGACACTTGACATGCTAGCCAAATTGAATCTGGTTTCGGGTTCTCTGGAGTGTGGTGTCTGTAATGCAACTGATGAGAGTATTGATCACTTATTCTTTGGTTGTCCATACTCATAAGGCTTGCTGCATGAACTTTTCAAATGGTTGCAGGTCAAGTTGCCACTAATCAACCTGAGAAGTGGAGTTTCCATATTACTAAAGAGTTGGAGATTTCATAGAATGAAGAGGCATCTTTTGTTTGTTGGAATCACAGCAGCTGTCTATCATGTATGGTTAGAGCAGAATAGTAGGACATTTGAATAGAAATCTATGACTGTAAATTAAAGATTCTTAGAGATGAAACTAGAAATTACTTGGAAAGTACTTAATTTTTGTAGACAAGGCAGTGGTGATCATATTAGATACAAATAACAGCTTGGTATTACAAGTAGGAAAATGTAATATACAGGAAAATGTGTCTCGAAGTGTAATGAAATTTACACTTAAAAACAAAAATTTATAGATTTTAGTTTCCGATATCGAATTATACTGTGATGGGTTTCAGTGTCCAAATGGAAAGCTATTAGGCCTTGAACATTGTTCTCTCCCTAGCACAGTGGCATATCCATGCAAGAAAAAAAGAAAAAAAAAATTATAGTGATAACTAATACCGGATACTTTTGCCGTAACCCTGAATAAATAAGAAGAAGCTTGATCTATGAGAAACCGATGTGGGAAAATGTCATCGTTTAAAGTTCAAACTATCACTGCCTGATAAGATCGCCATTAGCACGAATAAAGAAAAAGAAATGACAAATCCATTGACTGTATCATTTGAACAAGAGATTGCTCATTAGGAAAAAGGGGATCACTCTAAAGTCTAAACGATATGGTGACTTTTATTTTTCTGAAGGATTTTGTGACTAACGTTATTCAACTACTCTCATAAAATTACAAATAAAAAATAGTTGTATCCTTTAATTAGCGTGTAATATATTAGAAACGGAATATTTTACAATAGTTAGTTCATGTAAAATATCACTGATCCTATAATAACATGACAATTATTTACATAAGCGATCAAACCGAACGATCAAGATCGATCAAAACTAGGTCCCATGCTTGTACGCTGCTAAATCGATCAATGAAAATGATGGAGCTAGCTCCAATCTATCACATTCTACGTCATATCATACAGCCATACTGTATAACCATATTCCTAATCAATAAAGAAAATAACATAAAATGATGTTGTAATTTCTCTCTGCCTTTGAAGAAGATAATTCCACCAAATTTCTTTCAAAAAGAAAAATATTACTTTTCCATTTTAACAAATATGATAATTGATTTTAGAACGTCACACTAACAAGTTAGAAACTATAGTAGGAGTTTGAGAACAGCAAGCAAGATCAAACCCAAGGCGTTTTAGGTAATATTTTCATGCACAATATAAGGCCACGTGCACATTAGGATCTGAGGATGTATTTATTGCAAAAAAAAAATAAAAAAAATACATAGTTACATGCAAAACCACATACGTGTATATATAAATACACATAATATACCCTATCCATGTTACTATCATCAAAACTGTACTAAACAAAATAAAAATTTCTGAGGATTTTTGGAGCGTTAGGGATGTAGGGTTAATACTTAAGCCAACTCGCCACCTGCCATTTGTATCAACCTTACGTGTAGCCTTCGTATACCTCACCAATGGGAACATCAACATAAATGTATTTGAAAAGATTGAGCTTCGAAAAAAAACCAAAAGAAAAAGATGAAGTAGATGATTTAGGATTCTTTTTGGTTTGGTATGTAAAAACTGGTCACAAGCAACGAAAATTTATAGCAAAAGTCGAAACAACACATATAATGTGTATACTGTTTTTGGGCAGATTACACTATGTACTACTTTCGTCCCAAAAAAATAGTTCACATTGAGTTTTCAAATTTATATTAAAAACCGTACAAATCTCAAAACTCAATGCGGACTATTTTTAAGAAACGGAGATAGTATTTTAAACTTATTTCAGACTTAATTTGAAGATTTTTGCCGGAACAAAGCCTTGAACATGTTACGGGTCACATAACTCTTAACAAATTAACTCAACAAGGACAAATTATAATTAGTCATTGTCAATAGGGGTGTTCACGGTCCGAATTGGTCCGGATTGATAGCAATCTGTAACCAAACCGTTCATTACGGTTTGAAAAATTTTCAATTCTTAACCGGACCAGATTGGTGTATAATCCGGACCAATTCAATCCGTTTTTAATGGTTTGGTTTGGGCGGATTGGCAGTTTGGGCTTCTGATTGGACTTTTTCATTTTGGGCAAAAAATTAAACATTTTTTTGTTGTTGGACCTTTTTTGGGAGTTTTTCCTGAAATTTTTTGGGCTTTTTTTAGCCTTTTTTTTGGAGACTTTTCTTGAAAAAAAAAAAAAATTAGTCCATGGAGGATTCGAACACACGACCTTCAGCAAGGTCTAATATAGAGGGAACAACAACAATGCCAATAGGACAACTTAGCAGTTTCGATAAATGTCTCTATCCGACGCTATAATACAAAACTAATATATTATTATTTTATAATATATATACGGTCCGGTCCGGATTGATAGACGGTTTGACAGTGCCAAACTGTAATCCGGACCGGATTGACCGGTTTTCAATTTTTCAATCCGCCGGTTTAATAATATAATTATAATCCACCCGCTAATCCGAACAGATGACCGGATTGGGCGGTTCCACTGGTTTGAGCCAAACCGTGAACACCCCTAATTGTCAATACGCTATATATGCCATACTCCTTCCGTCCCAAAATTATTGTCCAGTTTGAGATTTTACTTTTAGTACAATTTGAATTAAAAATGAAAACTCAAACTAGACAATAAGTATAAGACGGAGGGAGTATAATATTTTTTATGTATGTATTCATTTGTGGCAAGTATGAGGAGAATAAACAAATAACTCAAACTCAACTAAGGGAAATGATGAATCAGTCTTTGTTAAACACGTATAACTATTTAATATACTCGTACTCTGCAACTTGGGAATTTTAAAAAGTAGTGTTATTTATAAGTATGGCATTAAATGTGGCCTAGTTAATTAGCTAGAGAGCTAACATCATCTCATATTTGATCAAGTTGGCACATGATATTAACAATATTTATTAGTTTTGATAGTTGCATCAAACATCAGATGTTGTTCAACTGATCTATCCATCTATCCATGTTGCATCTTCCAATTCCATCCCAAAAGATTTCACTAATTTCCATAGATTATTATTATCACGAGAACAAAAGTTTAATATAATTATCGGAATAATTGATAAAAAGCTCTTTTTATATAAGAAAAAATGTCTTCCTAAGCTAACTACATATATATATATATATATATATATATTAAATTTGGGAAGGAATGAATAAGTCCTAGAAAGAATTACTGCAAGTTAATTTATGTCGGGGAAAAATATTCCTTGAGATGAATGTACAAAAATTTTGCTATCATTCTCCACATCCAATTCAGTGGAGGGTTAATGACTGCAAAGAGATTCTCTGAAGCTTCTGCAGATTTTGCAATAACAACAGTACTACTACATTTTTATTCTTTTCTTTTTCTGAAGTTTCCTATCTCTCTGACTTGGTCAAAGCTTCTGGCAATATATATAAAAATAAAAATATCTCTTCAAAGGTATATTTGCCCCATCGCACAAGTTAACTGAAGTTGGTGTTTGACGGTAAGTTGCATAATCATCCAAATGCAAAAAGTGACGCAATTATAAATTATTCAATAATTTATTTAGTAATTTCTTTAGTATTTTTGGAAAAGTTTTACTTTTCAAAAATGAAATTAACTAGTTCAAACGAGTTAATTTAAACATGGCACCTATTTATTTTAGAATTAACTCATGGGTTGTATCAGCCAGAGCTTAAATATTATGGTAACATAATTAAGAATATGGAATATGAAAGTGAATTAAGTTTGAAGAAAGAATAATGAAACACATTGACTTGTCAATTTTTGTTTCAATTAACACGTACAAACTTTTTTTAGGCATTAACTGTGACTTTGAAAGCTGATCTTAGCTCGAAGTGACGGTGGCTAAAGCTTTGTGTGTGTTGTCCTCCTTTCATTTCCTTTCCTTCATACCTTTCAACTTTCAACAACCTTCTTCTCTCAAGTTTGGCTTCTTGCCTAACCCCCAACCCATCTTTTTTCCTTCCATAAAATATCCATTTTCACACATTCTTTTTTTACAATTCCTGAATTTTTCTTTATTTTTTCTTTTCATGGAACGAGTGTAGTATTTCATTGCTTTATCAAATCGTAAGCATTCCGATAAATGAGTTAACAATGTTCTAACAAAAATTTTGGTTATAATAGTTATTTCTCGTCTATTTTATAATACGTATTATTTCTGTCCTAAAAAAAAATCCACGTACAAATCTCAATTAAAATAAATTTTTTTTTTTTTTGTCGGAGTTTGTAGTATTAATTTAAGAATATTGAAGGGAAAAAAAAAACCCCACAAAGTTCTTCATTTTAATTTTTAACCACACAAACTCCATATTTTGACCGTTATTTATCCACAGTCCACAGAGACAACTCTTTCATGTGTGTATGTGTGTCTCAGTGTCTCTGTCTTTTATATCTAAATCTCAGTATAGTCCTTTCCTTGCTAGCTGCTCCCATGGCTACTAGGTATACCCCACACTGATCTTTTTAGTGGAAACGTGAGCTGAAGTCGCCTCCCCTCTCCCCTCTTTTTAGAGTTTGTGTTGGTGAAGCCTCTCTTCCCTTTTCCCTCTCCTTCCTCTCTTCTCTCCTCTTCTTCTCTCTCCTAATACTCTCTCTCTGTTTCTGCTAGCTCACTTCTGAACCCTAATGACAGCTTCTTCTCCATGTTGCCTGTGAGATTAATTTAGTCCAGTTTTTGGCTGTTTCTTTGTGGGTTTTTCTTTTAATTATTTCAAGAACAAAGATGGAAAGGAAAAAGAAGGCATGGAAAGGCCTGTCATGGTGGTATTAGATCTGAGCTTTGAAAGAAATGGATGGTAGTACTTAGTACTACTTTCTGATTGTCCATTTCGAAAAGCTTTTTCTTTTTTCACTCGCAGTTGTTTCTTTTTCCTTTGTTCTCAAATTGGTTTGGCTATAAGTGTGACGTTTTGCCAGAAGAAAGAAAAATATAATATATTCATATCTCTCAGTCAAACTTCATCCCGGCCGGTCTGGTTTCTTCTTTTTTTGGTCGCAAGGGACCAAAAAGATGGATTCTGGAAATAGTGGTAGTTTGCAATCATCCAGTGGCGACGAAGAGTATGATTCACGTCCTCCGGCGGCGGCGGATTCCATCTCAGCTCTCATGAACAACAACAACAACAACAACAACAAGAGGATGAGAACAATGGTTCATCAGCAGGGTAATAATAATAATCCGTCACAGATCAACGTGACAAACTTGGACCCTTTATCCAATTACTTTGACGCCATTTCCCGGCAGCAACAACAACCACCACCGCCTCCCGGCGCCAACCACCACCCACCACCACAAAACTCACTCCTCAATCTTGACATGTGGTCAAAAACACTGAGATCCCATCTCATCACTTCATCAGCAGAAAATCATCTCCATCAGCAAATGATTTCTTCTCCTCAAAATATACAGCCCTTTTCTTCAAACTCCTTCCCCGCGGCTGCCACAGTGAATCCTCCTCTCGCCGGAGCAACAGAGAATAACAACAACAACAACAACACAAGCGGCGGCGGAGGAGCAGCGGAGCAGAGAGCAGCCCACGTGGGCCGGAATCCAAAGAAGCGATCTAGGGCTTCCCGGCGGGCACCGACGACCGTGCTGACAACAGACACCACTAATTTCCGGGCCATGGTTCAGGAATTCACCGGAATCCCGGCGCCGCCTTTCTCATCCTCTTCTCCCTTTTCCAGAATCACTTCATCCGCTACAAGATTTGATCTTTTCGGTTCTAGTCCTAATAACAACAATAATATTAGAGATATTGCTTTAGATTCTTCACAAACTCCTCTTCCTCCTTACCTTAGAAGACCTTTTCCTCAGAAAGTACCCTTTCTTGCTTCTTCGGCTTCTTCATCCATGGTTGATCTTGATCAAACTATTAACAACAACAACTTCAACAGTTTGCCCGGTAATCTTCTCTTATCATCCTCGCTTCTTCAGCAGAAGCTTCCTCCTTCCGGTCTCAAAGTTGTTGGAGGGATGAATAATAATAATATCCTCCTAGATCAATTCGGACAGTTCAATGGTCCGGGTTCCCTGAGTGGGCTTCCGGGTCTCATTTCTTCCGATCAAACAACAACGACTCCGGCGGCGTCGAGGACGAACTGGGATGCGAATATGAACGGAAACTTGAATAACTCCGGCATAATGAATGCAGCAGCCACAGCAAACGGGAAACTGAACTTCACCGGAAATCCGTCCAACTTCAATGGCGAGAAAGGGATCAATTCTGATAATGTTGCTGCAGTTGGAGGAGGAGGATCAAGAGGTGGTGAAGGAGGCATGATGGAATCTTGGGTATGTTCTTCAGATTAAAGCATTTTTCAGCCAAAATGATTACAGCATAGAAAGTTTGAAAGGTTACTGTTATTTACTATGATGAAAGAGAGGAAATTTTTTGTTTTTTGTTTTTTGTTTTTTTTTTTTTTTTTTTGGCAATGATATTAACCATGACTTTCACCAAAGCTTTTAGGTAGCAAAAACAACCATCATAATAGTATTAGTATTAGTTTGGTCCAGAATTATGTGTAAATAATAGCCTTCTTTTTTTTTGTTCTTGGGGTTTTTTTTTTTTTGGGGGTCCTTTGATGATATATATCATCACACTGACCATACATTTTTAGTAGCAGTAGTACATATATATGTAGAGCTGATGATGATGATGAACTTGATGCTGATCATATTCCTTTATTTTGTTTGTTTTCCCATCGATTATGCAAGTTCTATTCAACAAAAATACCAGTACTACTATTTTTGTTCTTGTTCATGTTTGTGAACTTACGTGTGGGATTTTTTTTTGCTTTTTTGCAATTTTTTTCTGTGTCTTCGTGGCTTCACATTGGGGTTTGACTGATGTATACTGAAATGTGTAAGAAAAATCCAAGCTAATTATGGCCAAAAATCATTAAAGTCCGAATTCCAAAAGGCCCCGATTTTTAAATATCTGTGGGTGTTTTTTAATCTTGATTCTTCATCGTACTTTCTATTCTCTGTGCTTTTCTTGTAAGCTGCACTACTCTGTACAATGTACATGCACATTGCTCACTTTGGAAGATGGAAAATAGCGTATATTATGAGAGTAAGATATCTCTCTCCTCAAATTCTGTACATTTTAGTATCTAAAATTGTGCCATACTCTTTATATCGTGAGTTTACTCACTCATTACCATTCTCAAGGTTACTACTTACTAGCATTTTTAGCTATGGGTAGCCCTCTGTGTGTAACATGGTTAGATGACCCTCCGACTGTTGTAAAGTTTTGGATAAAACATGATATTATTCGTGTATAATGCCATCGTGCTGTAATAGTTTCGAGTTTAAAGCGATGATCTCCATATTGCACCAAAAAAAAAAACAAAAAAAATTCATTAATCACAAACTAATACCACACAGAAGAGTTATATTGTTGGCGTAAGAATAGTGTTGTTGTGTTTAGTTTGTTTTTCACTAGATTCTTTAATGGTTTTTAAATACAATATTTTACATTCGAAACTGAAAAAAAAAAAAGAAAAAGAAAAGAAAAATACACAGTGCATCCAGTCACCAGTCTGACTTGTGGAAGTCTTGGGCAAGTGGCCCTTCAATTCTGCTTGCCTTGTTTTTTTTTCTTTTCTCCCCTAGTTGGACACATTCTTTAACAGGATTACAACTATTTTAATTTTATTTTTGTAATTATTTGGCCCTAAAAGAATTTTTATATATTTGGGGGAGTATGTAAGAGTGATTGGTGGCGAGATTTTGGGGAAACGTTAGGCGCCGCAATCTCGTGTTACAATTGTGATTTCTTTTTTTTACTTTAACAAATTACCAAAAATTCTTTTAATATTTAGCTAATCTTTACTTTTACTCTATTTATTTATTTTATTAATATTAATTTTGTCTCTTCCTATGAACTATCTATGATTATTTTACAAGCGGTAGGGTGTGAATTGTGAAGGCTTCTAGAGATGGATAGACCATTGACCTTTTCAATTGTGTATAATTTAATCATAAAGCGATGACTACGTAGAACTAATAAGTCTACACGTTTAGATACGTGGCATGTATCGTGGAGTAATAAATACAAAGTATAATTAATAGTATATATCCATACAACGAGGGAAGGAAAACCTACTACTTGGAGCCATGTCATGGCGATGTCAGTATTTTTTACAAGGAAAATGATCTATCATTGTTACAATAATATATATTTTCTTTCGTATCATATATCTCTTTAGATTTCAAAATAATTGTCTAGTTTAAACTTCATATGAACTAAAAAAAAATGTTAATTTAATAATAATTTTAGGACGAAAGTACATAATATTTAAAATGATTGTAATCCGAATCAAATTCAGTAAGTCTCTTTAGGTTGTAATATTTTGCATTTTAATTTGGCTCGTTATCATTGTAGAGAATCTTTTATATTGGTCAGAAAAATTACATGAAATTTTGTTGATTTAAACTTCGTTATTTTACCGCATGCAAGTTACAATTGCTCGTACATCACACCTAGTTACAACAATGCCCATATTATTTCTTTTCTTGTTTGTTTTTCTTACTACTTCTTTTGTTCTGAAAAAATAGTCCACGGAGAGTACTAATTTTGCTCGGAACAAATGTTTTTGGCCTTGAATACTTTTGCGTTGTCTTTGGCATTTGGCTTTTGTACTTACTAATGGTACGTGAAGAAGGTATCTTCTATTACTAGCTAGTATGAGTATCCATGCGTGTACTTGATCTTTTCTTCTTCTGATTGTGCGTACTCGACCAACAAGAGGTTATGAACAACCATGCAGCTTTAGTGATGATGAACATGATGAGTCATGAGAAGTACAAATCCTACTGCTCTATACGTTGATGAATAATCATAAATGTTGGATCCAAATGGCATGCACCATTCCATAACTAGCTAGTTGAGCTTCATCAAGGACAGTTTCAGTTTGGTTATAAAAATATCAGCCACCAAATTTTGCAAATGTACAAAATGTGCTAAAAGATTGTTCAAGAGTTGTAGACAAAAGTTGTTGTAAAAAAAATAAATAAAAAAAAGAATAAAAAAAAAAGAAGAACATCACTAGACGACACACACAACTGATGAGTTATAAGAAAGCTTTTCTAATCTTTCGGACCCATTTCCTGGTCCCCTTTCTAACAAAGATTGATCTTGAAGAACTTGCTCGTTTTCTCTTTTCTAGTTTCCTTGTTTTGGAGAGGGAAAAACATTGCATGTTGGAGGTTGGCGGATGGATTCTAGTTCAGTTTTTTCTTGCACAATGAAGTCGAAACACGCTTTTTTTTCCCTTCTCCTTCCAACACTTCCGACAATTAGAATATTTTTCTTTTCTCATCCCACCCCGTCGTAGATTACATTCAATTGCAAACTCAAAAAGCAATGAAGGATCGCTTTCCTCCTAAAACTTGTTTATTTTGGTTCCAGTAGGGTGTTAATTTTCGTAACGACAACACAATTTACATAAACAATTCGACACGACTAATACGATCTGTGTTAACTCAAATCGATAACGTACGATCCATGTATAAAATTATTTTATTTAGAAACATATATGGACGAAGAAAAAAGAGAATTGTTTCAATTTAATATCCATCTTTATAATCATAAATCATATAAATATGGAAACTATTATTGAACTGATAAAATTATTATTATGAGACGGAAAAAGATACGAGTGTACATGCATGCACAAATGCATGTGAGTGGGTAACCTATGCCCGGGTGCTAGCCGTTGTGGAAATCAAAGGGACCGGGAAAAAAAAAAGTGTAAAACGAGTTGCTATTCAGGGGAAAATAAAAGGGGGATATCAGAGCAAAGATATCAAATTATGAAGTGCGGAAATCTATCTTTTTTTTTTTTTTTCACATCAGTGTCCCAAATTTTAACATCTCAAAGGCAGTGATCTTTTTTTGATTATCATTGTTGATTGGATTGATAATATCATTAACCAAATCAACTTTTTTTTTCTTTTCAATTTACTTAGCTGTTGCAGATCCGATCCTATTGGCCATCTTTTTCATCTTTTGTTTAAATTTTGAAATGATCACAAAGTTGGAGAGAGATGATGATCATGGTCATGATGAAGGCAACATTTTATGATTATCATCTAACAATTTACAAGAGAATTATTACAAATTTTGATGGGAACTGAGAAGCTATCATAACCATTGGATTTTTAGGGGTGTGAAAATAACCTTTTAGCTGGATGACTTTTGAGAAACAGCCAAAAAGTGCCCAAATTTATTTCTTTTTTTTTGCCCCCCTTCTGTGCATTCATCATACATTTTGCAATAATTTCCCTTTTATTTTATTTTTTGAAGGACAATGTGCTAGAATATTGAGTATTATCATTATTATTATTTTGGTTAAAGAAAAAGATTCATAAAAATGTTTCAGGGCCAGCAGGCCTTTCTGAGAAAAGAGATTAGTTGCATGTGAGGTATTTGGATTTGAAATGATTAATAGCCCATAATGGCTTTTAATTGCGGGCCTTAGAGCAATGATAGCTGTATTTTGCTCAGATTTTTGGATGCATGTCGTATCTTGATTAAATCAAGTTTTCAGAAATTTATAACTTGCATTTTCCCATTTGATGACTCAAATAATTTTTATATTTTTTAAAAAGTAAATAAATCATGGAAAATCCAAAATACTCCATCCATCCAAAAAAAAATAAATAAATAAAAGTCAAACTATACAAAAAAAATAAAAAATAAAAAATTGAGGTAATAGGCCACATTAATTATGGTCCATCTACTATACCACAATAACTCAAATCGCTTCATTTAGTTAACTGCATTTTGTTTCAAGATTTCTAACCCTATGTGCTTGTAACAAACTCACGCTATCATTGTTCCATGCCTTTCAAAGTGCCGATTTTGGCACGCCATTGTTTCACTTCACTTTGTTGTGCAGCTTCGTAATAGAAGGAGATTCACCTTGACTTGCATTACAACTTCATACTCCTTCTGTCCCAAAATTATTGTCCAGTTTGAAATTTTACTTTTAGTACAATTTGAACTAAAAATGAAAATCTAAACTAAATAATAATTATGGGACGGAGAGAGTATAAAATAACCTTCGCAAAAATGAAAAGAAAAAAAAAAACAAGAAATGTATGAAAAAATGGAAAGTAAAAAAGAGAGGACACCTGCCTCATGCTTACATTAGCAATGAGCTCATGAGATCCAATGGATCAACGAGACCGGCGTTAAAGGAGGGAGGAGTGTTTTTACCATGGGCCCTTTGATAAGGACAGTTGAGGTGTCATGATTAGAGAGATTTGTCCACATCGATTATGGATCCCATTGTAGCAGTACAAATGGGCCATATTGGAGCCCCACTCCACCGGCCTACCACCTCTGTACGGATTGCCATCACCCACAGATATCATGGGCAAACCTGCGTAGTTCATAATTTCATAGTTAAATTACTCCACTTTAATACTGCTTTGTTTTGATTCGATTTGTGTATTATAGGGTCTAGATTTTGGAATCCAAATAATTTCTGTAACTCATAATTTGCCAATAATTGTGTTATATCAGAAAATTTTCTCTCTTAAGATATCATTTCACGTACAACTGATTTCTTGATGTTTAGATTTGCCGTGATTGCTTATTTTGGTCAAGTAATCAATACAACTTTTAGTATATACAGTAATACTCCCTTCTATCCTACTTTATAATCTTACTGAAATAGGTCAAAATTCAAGAACTAAAAATCAACAGACTATGTAGGTAAACAAATTCCAACTACATTGTGTTTCAACAACTGAAAAATTCCCAGAAACAGATCATTAATACATTAAAAACCATTCACACTCGAAAAAATAACAGCAGCTAAGGCTATGCTTGTTTATTTTTTCAATGGTTTTTTCACAAGACGACTTCCACCAATTCCCAAGCCATCCTCCTCACTTTGCACGTAGCCAACACGCACTGTATCATGTACACACTTCTTCCCAATTAGGCTTTTATGTAGCTCCCTCTGATTGTGTCTTATAATTAGTGTCAAAGGGGTGTAACCTTTTATTATCATTTAAAGTTGCAGACATGATATAGAATGATAAGAAAATTAGTTAAATGATGATGATCCCGCATAGTTACTGAGCCGAAGAGAAATCTACAATGTGATACGATAGCAATAGGTTGTTCAATAATGATCTCTCTTAAATAGAAGGAAGATTTGTTTAGGAAAATTAAGGCTACCATAACTTCGATCAACAAAAAATTGCCATTCCATTGAGCTAATTTCTTGTTGATAAAGTTCTCATCATTACAACCTCACTATTTCCACTTTCTTTGGTACTTATGGTCTCCTAATGAGGCTTAGCAAAGGTAATCTATCACTAATCACTTTGGCAAGGAGTACGAGATAGTAGTAGCTGGCCCTTCTTTACTCAAAGTGTCTGATTGTACGATATTTCAGGCCCAAAAAGAAAAAAAAAAAAAAAAGGTGACTGTTTTGCTTAACTTAAAAATTACAATATAAAATGAAACATTCTAGTATGGGAAAATTAAAAATCGATTGTAACACATTTTGTGTTATATTTTATAAAACACCCGTTATAAAAGTCTGTATCATTTTTTAAAATAATGTTATAAGATGTGTAATGCAAAAAGTATTATAACAGACCTTACCTAATATTTAAACAAATCCTAAGAGACAAACTAATTAAATATAAACGTCAAAATCTAATGAGTGTTATAGAATGATCGGTAATTTAATAACAAACTATTATTTAGTTTAGACAGAACGATACCTTAAGACGGAGAGAGTGTCAGATAGTTAATCTTTTGATTTGAAACATGAATTATGGAGATGTGCTGAAATTTATGAGAGAACACTAACCATAGTTTTCGGTCTTCGAATTTCCCAAAAATCTTTCTTATATAGGGGAGAGACAAGCAAGGAAAAGTATCATAAGGTAACCAAAATCTCACAATAAGGAAGAGAATTTCTAGGCTAAAAACAAAATGTAGCAAGAAGGATAGTGGATCTTTGATTAGTTTCCATTCTCTTCTTCTGATAGGATGACAAATCAACTTCCCAAATTTCCTCCAGTTAAATTCCTAACGACCATTTCATCATCCCCACCGTCCACGTGGAAAAATGTCCCCACTTAAAACCCATCTTGTCCATCTATGTTGCCATGGCCCACATACAATTTCCTTAGAACTTTCCGACGTGCAAACTATTGTGAAGGTTTTAAAAGGTTTTATGTCCTTTTCGGACAAAAGAAAAAAAAAGAAACTCCTCACGAGGAGTGATTTGGACTTGATTCCCAAATCCTCAGATCTTCTTCATTCCCAGTCAACGCATATCCCACGAGCTTCTTGGAGATCAAAACCTCGTACTGGATTTTGTTTCATTTCTCTGGGAGGAGGCGCAAATGACACTGGTGAAGAAGATCAGAGCGGAAACGTTGACTCTGGTTCTGGTGAATCTTGCCGGAATCATGGAAAGGGCCGATGAATCTTTACTCCCCGGAGTTTATAAAGAAGTTGGGGCTGCCCTTCACACTGACCCGACCGGACTCGGTTCGTTGACCCTGTTCAGATGCATAGTTCAAGCTTCCTGTTATCCACTTGCCACCTATTTAGCTGTCCGCCATGATCGAACCCATGTCATTGCTTTGGGCGCGTTTCTCTGGGCTGCCGCCACTTTTCTCGTTGGGTTTTCGACCACATTTGCTCAGGTTCCCTTCCAATTTGTTTTAAATATTTGATCTTTGGGATTCTTTAAACATTGATCAGTAAGTCTTTTGTGGGTTGCGATTGATTTTTGCTCTGTATGATGTGTTATGTGTCTTTGTGATTGATTACAAAATTCCAAATTTTTAGGAACTTAGAAACTGTTGATTGATTTGATTCTAATGGAAGTTGAAGTACTAGTTTTTAATATTTTGTTAACGAAGATGCTGAGAAGTATTTAAAGTCTCTTCAATTAGTAATTTAGTTGCTTTATATTAGTGCTTTATTTATTTGGCCTACCATATAAGATATGCATTTTGGGTATGTAGAGTTTAGATGTTGGTGCTTTTGAAGTTCGGAACTAATATGTATATGTTAATGGTTTTGGGTAGGAGTTTGGTTAGTCCTTTTTGAGCTATATAGGCAAGACTGAAACTCTCCGAAACAGAGTAGGACCACATAGCTTTTCACTTAGAAGTATTAGCTGATAAGAAATGTTTTCAATTGGCAGGAAGTTACAACTACTTGTAAGTGTAAAAGTGGTAATACCGAAAGGTAATTTTATAGCATTTGATGAAGGGTTTATTTAGTCAGTGAGATCAATTGAGGAAAATGAAATAATTTTACACTTTAAAGGTAGTAAAAACTCTAAAGAGAAGTGAAAAGGAATATGTTCCAATTGAGCATGAAATTCCATTGAAAATTTGCTATCAAGTTCTTTTGAAATCATCAATCTAGTCTAGTTTTTCTAAGAAAATGTATATCAGTTGAGAGAACTTTTAAAATTTTTTTTTTTTTTTTTTAAAAGAAAATTCAGATAGTTATTGGAGAGATGTAGAAGGTTATGTAAATTATATAAATATTAATGTATCATTGTGTAAAACTGTTAAAATACCATATAGCGAGAGAAAACTGGATGTATCAATGTTGTTAATCAGTTTGTTCCATCATTCTATGGGAAACCTGCAAAATTTTATTCTAAGATGAATTGAAATGAAGTGAGAAGTCTCTTCTTTGTACTTTGTTATACTCAAAAACTTTTGAACATCCATAGGATCAATGATGGTCTCTGACTCTCTGATTCGAATTCGAGGCAACTATATATATGTCTGCAAAAGAAAAACTGAAGATGGTATAAAGGAGAATGTTGAAACACATCTTGGACACACTGAACTAGTTAGAATATGTAATGAATACATTAATAAAGGAAGTGATGATTACCTGAGCAAATGAGAAAATGAGGTTAACATGCATTTGCCGAATTACATTAATAGGAGAATGTTAAAAATCTGAAAAGGACTGTGAAATGATATGCATGACCGGCTTAGAAAAGTTAACTTTGGAGTTGTGCAATTTACAATGTCATGATATGTTTTCATGTATACAATATCAGCAATCTTGTGTGTCCTGCGATGTAATGATAAACTATCGGACTGAATACATGATCTTGTCACCTTCTTTCAGCTTGCCATTTCAAGAGGTCTAAACGGCATAGGACTTGCCATAGTCATACCTGCTATTCAGTCTCTAGTAGCTGACTCAACTGATGAAACCAACCGTGGTACAGCTTTCGGGTGGTTATCATTGACATCAAGCTTTGGCTCCATAATTGGTGGGTTTGTATCAGTTATGATAGCTTCAACAACTATCATGGGAATTGCCGGTTGGCGTTTTGCTTTCCACCTTGTTGGATTATTGAGTGTTGTAGTCGGTATCTTGGTTGGCTTATTCGCCAAAGATCCTCACTTTGCTGATAGCAATCGAGTGACAAAGGCTCCTCATAAATCATTCCGGTCAGATGTTAAAGAGCTGATTGCTGAAGCCAAATTAGTTATAAGAATCCCAACTTTTCAAATATTGATTGCTCAGGGTGTCTCTGGATCATTCCCTTGGTCTGCCCTGTCATTTGCACCAATGTGGTTGGAATTAATAGGCTTTTCACACAAGAAGACGGCTTTTCTTTGGACCCTTTTTGCTGTGGCTACGTCAGTTGGGGCGTTGTTGGGAGGCAAGATGGGGGATGCCCTGGGCCAACGGTTTCCCAATGCAGGGAGAATAGCTCTTTCACAAATAAGTGCAGGTTCTGCCATTCCAAATGCAGCTATTTTGCTGCTGGCATTACCTTATAATCCTTCTACAGCGGTATCACATGGTTTGGTATTGACGATCATGGGATTATTTGTAAGTTGGAATGCTGCTGCAACAAACAAGTACGTCCTTTTGCACCAATGTTTCTTACTTTATCTTTGCAGGAAAATGATCTGAAACCATTTGCACTTTAAGTATCCTTAGATTGAAGCAGTAAACTTAGATCTATACATGCTTTCCTTCAAATTACTTTCTTCAGTTCATTCTTTTTTTAAGTTTTAGTAAATGGTGGTATTGATGGGAAGCAGCAAGTGCGAGTGTTATGGTTATGGATCATTAGTGAAATTTGAAAGTTGAAACTGACACCAACTGCAGTATCGCTTACATGATACATGATGATGAACACAATCCTTGAGCTCAATATTTCAAACTTAGTTATTACTACTAACCTAAGCTTTCGGTCTTGAAGAAGTCCATTTGAAAAAACTCTGAAATGTCCAGTGCTTCTTATTGATATTGTTTGCTGCATCATTTCATTCTTAATGCGTCTGCAGCCCTATATTTGCAGAGATTGTTCCTGAGAGAGCCCGAACCAGCATTTATGCATTGGATCGATCCTTTGAGTCAATTCTAGCATCATTTGCTCCTCCTATTGTTGGGATCTTGTCACAGCATATTTATGGTTATAAGCCAATTCCAAAAGGAGCAACAAACTCCCAAGAAATCGCGATGGACAGAGAGAATGCTGCAGCACTTGCAAAGGCACTTTACACAGCAATAGCAATTCCGATGGTCATCTGTGTCTCCATTTATTCCTTTCTCTATTGTTCATATCCAAGAGACAGGGACAGAGCGAGGATGGATGCTCTGATTGAATCGGAGATGCAACAAATGGAAACTGACAGGCTCCCTTTGCAAGAAGAATCTATGCAACTTCAGTTTCCAGATTCTGATAAACTTCAGGCGAAAGAAAGGAGTGTCATCGATATAGAGTACGATGGAAATGAGGTTCTTGAATTCGAAGAGAATGATGAGAAGAGGCTTCTTAACCAAACGGTACACTCAGATATAAGCAAATCATAGCACATATATAGAGTAAACTTCCACACAGTTTTGAGAAATTCATTTCACTATAACAAGATTAAATTTGTGAATATCTTTACGTTCTTTCTGTTCCTTGTAATTCACATTATAACATTCTTTCTGGACTTACAACACCATCAATCACAAACAAATTCTTCCCAAGTCAAATTCGGTTTTCTGTTTGTGAAGTTGACACTTGACAGCAGCCGTTGTAGCCTTTCAGAAAGTTTTGTGCTGATTCAGGGCCATACAGTTGAGATGCAACCAATATTATACTGATATACTCGGATTAATGTTAACTTAATTCAACCTAAAACTTCAAGGCAGGCACTCTTAAATCTTTTCCTTAATACTCCTTTTGATTAGTTTAAATTATAAGAGTAAAAATTTTAAAAATGGACAGGGAGTGTCAGAAATTAAAAAAAAAAAAAAAAGTTAATGTAAATCTTGAACGTTTGTTGAAATTAGAAACTTTAAAAATAAAAGTAGAAGAAGGCGGTCAGCTAATAACCGATCTTTTACTACTCCGTGACTAGCTCCGTTGTTACTATTTAGGACTTTCTTTTCAACGGTGCTCCATCATGGAAATAGAATTTTGTCATATATATATATATATATGTACATATATATTGTTTTGGGGTACAAACATTTCATATTTTTTTTAAGAAAAAATGAAAATGGAAATTAAATTACTCCTCGCGTAATGAACAATGGAAGATTTTTATCTGCCACTAGTGTTTTCCCTGGTTAAAGCTGATTAATAACCTCAATTCATAATTAACAAGAAATCAAGTTGTATCTACATCCCATATGGCTTGTTTTATTATGTTTATATGATGGAGACTCTTCGGAGATTCCGTACCGAATTTAAGGTCATTGTGTTGTATTGGCCACCCAACATCTCCATTCAGCTACCCAATCTGATTACGAGTTTATACCGTTAAAAAACATGTTTATTGACAAGCAGCTGAATCGTTTTCCTGTCTATTGCTTGAAGGAAAAGATAAGAGAACAATTCATTCTTGTAGATAAAACCTTTTTCTCTCCAAATTCTGATTAAAAAGAAAAAAATAAAATATTCCCTATGTCCTAAAATTAATATTGTCCAGTTTAGACTCTTATTTTTTTTTTCAATACAATTTTTATTAAACATAAATTTTCAAATTAGACAATAATTAATGCATGCTCATATTTTGAGATGGCAAAAATTTGAGAAAATTTAAGATATGACAAGGGTTTCCTAAAGTGTAACAGCTATACATTGTTGCCTTCTTCCTTTATTCCCAAACAATAGCCGACAGTAAATTTTGCCCACAAAATAATTTGATTTTTATTCTACTGCACTAGTTTTAATTAGTTTATACTCCGGTTCGTGTCAATCTTTCTCCCAGAATTCCCAAAAACTCCAACTCGAAAATGCCAACAAAGTCATTATGCAAATTTCAGCTTTAGACCACCTTAATAACGATCTCTTAACACTCTTAATTTAACCCATGATGTTTTCCGTCCACAACCTATATATGTGACGAATTGTTCGACGATGTCTACGGCGGCAGACGGAGTTGTCACTCAGGAAGGTTTTGTTCAAAGGCCACAATGGATTGATGGACAAGCTGGTGTTAAGTGAAGGGGGTCTGGTGCTTTTCCGGAATGTCGCTCACGGCGGAATTCGGTAAGTTGATTGAAACCCTAATTAACTCCCATAGCTGCCATGCGTCTAGCTCAAGCCCTAAATAATCGCTAAAACTACACAAAAAGAGCCTAGTGTACGTAGGTCACTGTTTGGTCGCAGAACTCATGACTACATTTGATTTTTGAATGTAATAAAAATATTGTCTATGTCCTGAAATAATTGTTTAATTTTAGATTTTCTATTTTCTTGTTATCCTAGATATTGATAATAAAATGTCAATAGAGCTATTTCAACCTTTTTAATGAAATTACTTTTTTTTTTTGTGGTAAAGTGTAAATTTCATTGCTTCATCAACAAGTTTGTACAAATTTCCCTCTAGTATTTACATGTTGATTCCTAGTCTATTTCGGAACCGAATATCATCACCACTACCATTCCTATACAACCATTTGATTCTACATTTCAGTTCATCTTGCATCAGTCTCACTCTATTCTGTACTGTTTTCTTTCTATCAGCAAATTTCCTGCTATTTCTTTCCATCCACAGGTGATACATGACATCGATATCATTGATTCCAGCATGGAGCACTTTCCTTCTCAGCCTTCTAAACTTCCATATTTTGATGATTCTGCATCATATCTTTTGCATACGTCAATTTGAAGAATAGATGTTGTACAGTCTCTCCTCCTGTTCACAGATTACACATTTATCTTCCATTATGTCCATATTCATTCTCTTCAGCCTGTCCACATTCAGCAGTCTTTTTTTTCATGCCAACCAGCTGATGTAGCTATGCCTTGGTATGGTGAATTTACTCTAGAAAATTACAGCAGACTTACATTTCTCTTTGTTCCCCCTTAGCCATTTATATCCATCCAGAAGCAGTGGTGTAATGCTCCTTCCCATTTCCTGTCCATCTTTCATTACTATCTAACTCCTCTTCTTAACTGGTCGCTCACCTTCATTAACTTCTTCCAATGACAACAATGTGATTTATGTCTCACCTTCACTTTTTGACTTTTCTGATATTGAAATTATTTTTTGAGACAAACTTGTTTAAGAAACTAGATTAAAATTTTTCTGATCTTGTTTAAGAAACTAGATTAAAATTTTTCGGGAGAGACTCGCAAAACAGTAGTGAAATTATGGCTCTCAGTGTAATTTTTTATTAAAAATGAAAAATTCAATATGAGCAATCAAAATAAACAAATAATAAATACATAAAAAAGACATAAATCATATTGTTGTGCTGATTAGAAACCGCCATCACTTAGGTAATTCAAATTGCCTCATAATTTGCTCGTCATGTTTGTCCTTAAAATAATGAATGTACGAGAGTACCACAACCTAAACAATTGAACTTCTAAAGTCAACGACTTTCATACGTAAAATTGAGGATCAATTTAAGACTAAAGAAAACATTGTAGGTTGCCTCTTAAAGCATGGTCGGATTTTTTTTTTTTTTTAATTACTACTATCTAATTTCACCATCTATTTCTTTAAGTTTGCTATTTGTCATTATCAAAATGAACTCATTCGTGACTGACTTGCATGTATCTCCAAACAAAATAAATTAATATGGGGTCGAATGAAAGAAGATTCCTAATCTTTCAAAATTTCTATTTTTGTTCAAACCTTAAAAATAACACTAGTTCTTAAAGGAAAGTACAAGTAATACAAAGAGGAAGTAAGACAATGATTAATAATTGATTCTAAATGTTTAGCTTTTGATAATTAAATATTTGGGGTTACGATCATTCTTGGCTTTGTTCATTTTCTAGCTTTTTCAGTTGGACGTTTGACTGCCTATTCTAATCAAGTCAACCAAGTTGTTGGTCAACACTATATCTTTTTAGCCTAACACACTGACTTTTTCACACTAGTAGTAAGTGTCAAGGTTAGTATAGATTCCACTCAATATTCTTTGGGCTTCTTTTTTTTTTTTTTTTTTCTATAGGTGATGATTATTGCATTGTCATTTTCAAATACCAGCCGAGGAGATTCAATGCTTGATTGTGAAAGCAAACAAGCTTTCCGATTTTTATTAAAAATTAAATTAAGAACTACCTACTCCATGAGTAGGGTTGAGATTTTATGATAGGGTGCTAAATACCAACACACCATGAGAATTGCAATATTTTAAAGATGTATTAGAACTTATTTTGTAATAACATGTCAATATACAACAAATGTTCACCAGTAATTCATAATTTTCCTTCTTTTTTTGTTTAACATAATTTTTTTTTAAAAAAAATTGAATGGAACCCTATATATATATATATATATATATTTTGAGTATGGGGTAAAGAAGGGATGAGGTACTTTCACTTTTAATATGTTTTGAACTCTCAACTTTTGAAATAAATATGTACAACATTTTGAGGAATTAATACTCTAAGTTTATATTGTCGGAATTTTTTTTGGAAGAGCATAGTCTAACAATGACACAACTCACAAGTGCATGACAGATGATAAAAAACGATTATAGAGAGAGCTGTTGATTGTCGACAATGGAAAGTTAAACTTACCCTGAATATACAAAATTCAAATATGGGTACTTTATATTAGATGAGTTAAGATATTATAAGGGTCATATTCTTGTTATATATTATATAGCTAACTTTGCATGAATCGGTTATTGCACCAAAGACTAAATAAGCTTAACTACAAAATTGTCCATCTTCTTCCATCGTTTGCTGGTGTTGGACTGGATCAAAGATATGGTTTTGGTCATTCGAACTGTGAGCCAGGCTTAATTAGTAATTTAAACATATTAGTCGTTCCCAATTTGCCTAAATTGCAAAATAGTGTTTGCACAATTTTCGTCTTAGGAAAATCAGACAATATATCTTTCAAACGATTGTGCGTTGTTCTTAATAATCTGTACTAAATAAGTCAAATATAAGAATTTCAGTAATAAATATAAAAATCGGCCGAAGACCAGATTTTGGTATGATCTTTGAAGAAAAAGTACAGCCGCTGGTGATCGGCCTAATTTGGAGAGTTCTTGAAAAACTCCAGCCTTAGAAATAAAATCGAAAATAAAAGACTGAAAAATTAGAAGAAACAATTTGATGTTATTTTGATTGTGTCCTCTTCCTACCGCAGATTAAATAGTGCTTGAGTTCTAGTCAGTTCACAATTTTAATCTAACACCAACTAGGCTTCTTTCTTTCAAATCGAGCACTGAGCCTTCTAGAAGCCTGATTTGTGACCTTCTGCTCCGTCTAATCCGGCCCACATTCTTGCCAAATCTTCTAAAGCCCAATCGAAAAAAACTGGCCAACAAATACATAATTGAAATTAATTAATATACACCCCCTTGATTCTGATGGTCATGGTGATGATGAATGATGGACGTACGTACGAGATTCTGTTGGATTCATGGAATCTCAGAGAAAGCCAGTGTGGAACGGTGAGAGAGATCCCAAATTCTATATGATGATACATGTGCAATGCATGCATCTCCCATCTTTGGTAGATTTGTTAAGAGTTTAACCTTTTGTTGTGTTCTGTTATTAAAAAAGAAATATTTCCCGGTCCTCATAAGAAATTTTAAATTAACTTTAGTGTTAATTTGTACTTTTAATTAGGACCAAAGAGAATAAGTTGATACCATGTATGGGAGAATTCTAATTAACTCATAGGTGAAATGGGATAACAATTCATATATGATACTAAGTGGGAATTCTTTTTTTTTTCTTTTTTCTTTTTTTGTTTTTTTTGGAAATATACTAAGTGGGAATTCTAGTCACGTCATCGGGAGTACTTAAAAAAAAAATAAAAATAAAAAATCACCGCTTTACTGTTTGTAGTCGCAAAAATATTTTACTTTTTCCAATATCTACTCTCATTTTCCATAACTATTTGGAGGGGGTACGTAAATTTGGAGTCCACCGGTATACTTGGAAGAATGAAGCTCTAAAATGATTGAATCATGTAGAGGAACTAACATGCCATCTGACGCGGGCCATGCATGTGTATTTTTTATTTCCTTAATTTTTTTAATTATTAAAAACAAAAAAAAAAAAACAATTCTTTCTTTTCAAGGACGCATATTTGGTCCTCTACGCCTCTATGATATTTAAGAATTTGAGGAACTTGGCTAATTAATCAATGATAGGACTTGGACAGATTTTTCTTTTGTTCCTTTATTATGATGTGTTTTATATGTCTTGACTTAATCCTTAAAATCAAGGGTTTTGTTATTTTCTTTATACATTTTTATTGCCATTTTTTGACCAAATTTTATAAGATGAAAATTGAAATTTAAAACAAAACATTGTCTCTATCTATCAAAATGGTTTTTTTTTTTTCTTTTGTGGAAGGAGAGGAAAAGAATTACCATAACTTTGTGAGAAAGGCGGTGTCAAATGATTGCTTCTCGTATTTAGAACGTCTTTCTCGTTAAATTGTGAATGTTTTAGATAAATCCTTTAAATCATTAAAAGGTTCTAATACTATGTTTGATCTGAATCTGATCGAAATATTGATTTTACAAATTATAAATGATAAAATTGTCATTCCAGTGAATCTAAGTGGAAGTATGGAATGTCCTGGCCTGCGCGTCGGTCGGTCTTAAATTATCAAATAGTCAGCAGCTTACTTCTCTAGTTGGAGGCAGGCTTAAATGATGTCAAAATGGTATGATCAAATGTTAATTAATTAATTAAGCTTCATAGGAAAAAAAAAACCACTTAATAAGAGGCATAGCTAAAAAAATCATGCATCTCTCTTTTTTTTTCTTTTTTTCTTTTTTTATCGTTCTTATGCATGGGGCTTATGTGTTTCTGCGATGGAGACTTGTATGAGATTCATTACGAATTTTAAGGTCATTGTGTTGTATTTGCCACCCAACATCTCATTCAGCTACCCAATCTGATAATGACTTCATAAATCACCGTAGACACAGGGATTTATGTGTTTTAATTAAGAAGAAAGATGATTACATGTGATTACAAAATTTTATGGAGGGAAATGTAAATAAAAATATACTCCCTCCATTCCAAAATAAGTATCGTCCTACACTTTGTACATAGTTTAAGAAACTTTTAAATAGGGTAATAAAATTACTTGAATATCCTCAACCAACCCCATTACAAAATTGTCCACCAATAGCATCAACTCTTTTGAGGGTAATTTTGAAAACTTTTAACAAAAAGTGCATTGAAATGTGAGAGCGACACTTATTTTGGAATTTCTCCATTTTGCTAAAACGACACTTATTTTAAAATAGAGAGAGTACTATTTAGATGAAATCATTAATTTTCACATAAATTTTTCGTAAGACGGAAGAAATATTTATTACAAGAACGGAGCTAGCTATATAAGCCACACCTACTTGAAGGTTTGGAATTCGGTGGAGGGATGAGGAGAAAGAGTCCAGCAAAGAATAAAAACAAACATAAAGTCCGAATTTTCTGGCCAAAAAATGGCTGAAACTGAAAAATAGGTCAAAGGCTCAAAGCCTATCATGAATTTGCTGGCATATTGTTAGTTAAAAAAGGTCAGTAAATATAAATAAAGAATCCATGCAGAAGCACAACCTGAGGCGGCTTTGAACTTTGATGTCACATTAATTAAACCGATTAATAAATAAACTCGAGACGCAGATTTTCATGTCTATTGTCGATGATTAATTATATCGAATCTTCCAAAAACAGATGGAACAGAACTAATTTAATTAATTATTATCCCTTGAAACAAACATGTTATGAAAGTCAAGTTACTGGAGAATGTGATCCAGAGTCTGATCATAATATTGTAAATCGATCTTTTTAGGGGGTCCTAAATCCCATTTAGAGTATGGTTTTATGATGATTATTGCCCTCCAATGTACCTTTAAAAAAAAAAAAGAAGAAGAAGAAGAACATTTTGGCCCCCTTCATATGCGTTTATTATTACTCACGAAAATTCATATATGTTTTTCATCGCTAAAAAATTCACTAGTTGCAATGCTTCCAGAAATGATCAATTTGGTTCCCAAACAAGAGAGATACGTGTGTGAATGATTAAACAACTGAGGAAGACTTTCTTTCTGTTCAAACCTTAAAAAAAATAATAATAAAAAAAGTGTTACAGCATAAAAGAAGTAAGCCTTCGAATTATTGATTGGAAATGATTTTATTATAACAATTAGTTGGGAATGTGACAATTATGGGACTTGTTCACTTCCTCTTTCAGTTCAGTTTGACTTCCCTTCCTGACTATAAGGCAGTGATTTCAAAACCGGACAGGCCCGAGCGGTCTATCCGGTTAGCCCGGAAACTGAAAGCCTCATCGATTTAATTTCTATAAAAAATTGGATTGTGTATAACCCGGTCAAACTCGGTTAAATTTGGGCAAAACTGTGGTTTGACCGAAAACAGTTACCGGTTGAACCAATTTTTGCATATATTTCTTACAAAATTACACTTTGTTTGTTTCCTTTTTTTGTTGGTTTTTTCAGAATTTAATATTAATAACTGTCCCATCCCAGCATACCTTTTTATATTTCTAATACACCTTTTGACATTCCTAATACAAAAAATACCTAAAAACACACACTAAAAAAACGAAATAAATAGACCCTTAATTTTTAAATATTTTTTTAATATTATTTTAACCAATTTTCACTGATTTCGAAGAACGAACTAATCCATTAACCTGATAAACCTATCAACCCGGTCACGCTAACGGTTCATCTTCCGATTCAGTTCGAAAACATAGCTATAAAGGTCAGCCAAATGTTGTTGTCGTAGGCCAGGTTTGATTTTTACTAGGCATACATATAGTTTATCGACCGGATTGCTTAAAACATGAGCGACATGATTTACAATAAATAAACCGAATGAATATAAGTTACTAATTACACTGAAACATATTCTACAATTATCTCTCCCATCAAATGAAGTATATTTTCCGTTTCCTTCCTTCTCCCCGTTGGACACTTACCTAAAAATTAAAAGTGTTGCCATCGAAATTTTGTAACTGAGTAGTTTGGTTTAACTCCACTCTATATATTCTGTTGGCCCATTGTTTTCTTTTGTGCAGGTCATTCTCAAACACTAGTCAGTAAAGGTAAAGATACTGATTGAATCCTTTGATTGTGAAAGTCCTGAAAGGTTCCGGATTTTTTCATAAATAGAAACTACCTACTCAATGAGTAGGATTTACTGACCATACATTGTTCTAAACTTTACTCCCTCTATTTTGAAATACATGTCGTTTTAGGATTTGATAAATTTTTTTTAAATATATATTGTTTTCACATATGAAGTTATATTTGAATCACTTTTTATCAATATTACCCTTGCATTGGAAATAAAATAATATTTATAATGAATTTTTATTGCTTTATGATGGATTGTATAGATAATAAATAAAGGTACTATTTTTGTATTATAACTATATTAATTAATGTTTTCTTGGTTTTGATGATTTCTCAAGAAATACATATAATGTAAGTGTACTTTTTATTTTAAGTTGCGTCTCAAAATGTAATCGTCTACAAAAATTCAGCACTACCTCAATAAACTTTGCATGAAGACCGCGAGAACAGAGTCAGTGAAGTGAGCGGACTCTATTTTGTCTGTGTGTTTTTTGGGGAACTGAAACTTGAAAGATTACACAATTGAGAGGGAGAGAGACTTTTAAGGTAAAACCGCGTGGATATAATACCATCTCCTCCTCTTCCCCCTTTGTCTCGTTGTTCCATGTGATGACTGATCTCATCTCCTTCGTTTAGTCCTACTGTATAGTTTTGCATTAAAGTCTCTGCCTTTCTTTTCCCCCTCACTATTTTTTCTCCCTTTTCACACACACACACACACACACACCACTACTTCATTACTACTAGTAGTAGTACATCTATCTCCTCCCACATTTATGCTTCTCATCCTCCCTTTCTTCCCTATTGTCAAGTCTTTAAACATTTTCTGCTGAGGCTTTTTTTCTGAATCTTGGAAGCCTCATTTTTTATTAGATAGATCTTCAATTCTGAAGAGATAAACAGAGGTGGGGGCATAGATTTCTGTACCCATTTTAACAACCTATGGCTCCACTGCAAGATTTCAGTCCTAGAAAGGTACTACTACTTCTTACATTTGTCCTATTTTTTTCCTTGGCTTCAATCTGCATTTCTGCTTCCAGTTTTGAAGTCCAATCACATAAAAATGGCATCTTTGGGAGGAGGAAATTGCTTGGTGGGGTAGAGTTAGATGAAGATGATGATGAGCCAGTTGTTGTTGTTAAGAAGAAATCCAGCAGTAGCTCTGTTTTGTCCAAAGATTCAAAACCCAAAAACCAGACCAAATTACTCAAGCCCACTACTCTGAGTTCATCCAAGAATCAAACCAAGCTCCTCAAAGCTTCCATTGGTCTGTCTACTAAGAATCAAACCAAGCTTACCAAGACTAAGGAAGAAACCAAGCTTATCAAATTACCTTCACAATCAGCCAAGAACAAGACGAAGCTCACCCAGGCGTCCTCAGATTCGAGTTTCGAAGATCAACCCACCATCAAATCCAAGCTCAAGAAGCTGAATTTCACTTCTAAACCCACAAATTCAACTAAAACAGCCAGTCTCCTCACTAAGAAGTCCTCAGATCTCACCAAATCGAGCTCAGCCAAGAACAAAACAGAGAAGGCGACATCTTCGAAAGAATCCAAATCCCATTTTTTGGATGAAGAAGAATCTGACAGCAACGAGTCCAAGCCTAAATCCAATGCCAGCTCAGACAAGAAATCCACCAAGTCCCCAGCAGTGAAGACCAAAAACAAGCCTTCAGAAGAAAAACCCAAGTCAGGAGGAAAATCAGGAAAACAGAGTTGGCCAAGTTGGGTTGATCAAGACGATGATGATGATGATTTGGTTTCTGGGTTCAGGACCTTACCCTCCAAATTCCAAGAAACATTGTTGCCAGATTTGGAGAAAATCTCCAAAACCTCAAAAGTTTACCTCACAAAAGCCAACAAAGAAATCACCAAAGGGTTCAAACCATATGTAGGTAACAAGTATGCTCCCACAATTGCTTCATTCATCTCCTTTGCCTTCATTATCATTCCCCTGGTCCTTGTTTCCCTCATTTTCAACAAAATTAAAGCCTATTTCTCACTCCAAAAGATCCTAATCTTCATCCAAATTTACCTATCCATCTACTTCTCAATCCTCTGTTTCTCTTCATTAATCACTGGCCTTGAACCATTGAAATTCTTCTATGCTACTTCCCAATCAACATATGTTTGTTTACAAGTGCTCCAAACACTTGCTTATGTGTTGTACCTTCTGCTTCTTTTGATGTACCTGATCCTGGTTTTCTCCACTGAGACTGGGCCGGTGACGAAGTTATTGGGTTTGGGCCAGACTTTTGTGGGCTATGCTGTTGGGCTGCATTACTACGTGACGGTGTTTCACATGGCGGTGTTGCACCAACCGCCCAAGACGAGTTGGAAGATCCATGCGATTTACGCCACGTGTTTCCTTGTGATTTGTGTGTTAACTAGGGTTGATTATAGGAGGAAGAAAGGATACTTAGATGGGGATGAAAGCAAAATGAGTTAATTCATCCCTTAATAGTTTTTCATTTTTACTTCTTTTTTTTTTTGGCCATTTTGTTTTATGATGGTTATAATGGTACTTAAGAAAGAAGCGAAAAAGAATTCGCTCTTTCGAATTTACAACAAATTTGTAATTTATTATTAAGATTATAATTAAAGTTCTACAAATGATTAAGGGTTGCATCTCCTTCTCTCTCTCTCTCTCTCTCTCTCTCTCTCTCTCTCTCTCTCTCTCTCTCTCTCTTATTTGCATGCTTTAACAAAATTAACATTTTCTCTGGCCCCTTTTCAATTAAAGTAGTTTTTATGATTCCTTTTCCCAGGTTTTTTTTTTTTTAGCATTAAAAAGCAAAAGAACAAAAAAGTGGAAGCTATTATTGTCGGTAACTCAACTTAAAGAATTCACGTTTCCGTACTCCATAGTCAATGCTTATACAACTTAAATTAATTGGGGGTGCCTGACCTTTTTTTTTTTTTTTTGCTTTTACCAATACTTTATAAAATTTATTTACTATTTCATAAAATTTAAATAAAAAAAAGGATGATTAAAATGAGTAGTGTACTTGAATAAAGCAAGAATCTGCCGAAGAAATCATCGAACTATTTATGATTCTGTAGGTTAAATCTTTTGGGAAGGTCGGGTAAAAAAAATGACCGACGGTGCCGTTGTTTTTGTGTCGGTGGACATAAATGGGAAAGTTAAGCCTATTTTAGAGTTTAGAAAAATGTAGCTCTCAAGCACAGGCTGTTATGGGTATCCATGCAACCGACATATTTCTTCCACTCTTTGTGCAGTTTTTTATTCATCTTCTTTTTCTCCCTTTTGGCAGCCTGAAACTGTTTCGACGTGCTCATACTAAATCAAGTTAGGTTTTTTATGGTATTTTCAAAATATTTAAATAATAAATGTCTCATTCTAGCATACTTTTTTATATTTTTAATATATTTTTTTATCTTTTCAATACAAAAAACTCTTAAAAATATACACTAAAAAAACAAAACAAAGATACTATAAGTTTTTACTTCATACACAAGGAAATGAGAAAATGGCTATTGTAAAAAGCAATTGATAAATTGAGAGCATTTTTGTTATACTGAGAGAAAAAAAATTTAATTCCTGTTACTACCCTCACTTAAATTTTTTAAGAAAATTATCAGATTTGTTTTTTTTCCCCTTAATTTTTTCCTTTTTTTATCTCGGCCATTTCTTCAAGAATTTTAAGAACATAAAATGTAAAAATTGAATCAATTTTTTGGATAACTGGAACTTTTGTAGCTGTGTACTTGTTTGTAATTTGACTTTTGTGGCCGTATATTTTGGCCTTGGGGTTGCTCACAAAGAGGAAGAGATAGAAGAATAGAGTATGAAGATTTTTCTTTTTGAAGGAAACTAATAAGTATAAAGTTAATTTGGGTTCGATCTCTTTGATTGAATGTAATCATTTAGTTGTAAAATTATTTTTACAGTCAATAGTTAAATTTGTTATAGAGATTATATTACCGTTGCAAAGAGAGGTAAAATTAAGGAAAGAATGGAGAAAATTAATGGGATAGGAGTATGGTAAATTCCTTATAAGCATAAGTGAGGCTGCGAGAGTAATATAGGCAGTTGATAAAATTTACTTTGATTGCAAAAAATCTGCTCTCAATTTATCAACACACATCGTACAAAAGGGATGGGAGACTTTATAGTTAATGGTCACCATTCAGCTCAATGTGGTGTTCGCCTTTCAAGAGCTCAGCAGAGATTCATTGCAGAGTATTGGAGAATATTGCAGCATCATATATAATCAATCTGTTGAAGCCTTCGAACAGGCCGTTGAACCTCTTTTAACTGAGCTTGATGATCATTCAACATCTTTGCCTTGAGGTAATCCCTGCCTTTATTGGCTTATTCTTTCCGCCTATCACCAATGTTTGCTGGACCATGATCCTACACAAGATCGAAATAGGGTCACATGATCAGATTGTAAATAGGATCGGTAGGATCGTAATAGTAAGATCGTAGAATTTTCAAAATTAATTTTATATTTATATATGTTATGTACAATAAATTACAAAATTATCCTCTTTGTAGACATTTCTACACAACTATATACCAAATGACTACTCACATGTGCTCAAATTACTACTATGTTACTTTAATAATTAGGTTTTAGTTATCTTCACAAAAGAATTTAATGTCTAAGCATTATTATAAATTATAAAATAGATGCTTGGCCCGGAAGATGCCCGGCCGGCCCTATTTTTTAACTTTGATATGTATTTTGACTTACAAATAGTTTATTAAATATACTATAAGTTTAATTTATGTAATCATGTAAATGATTGAATTTTGATTCAATAGTACGAATTATAAATAGTTATGAAAGACATTTTTATTATATGTTTTTGCTATTTTTGAAACATTTAAAATTATAGGTCATCAATTTTGTATTGATATAAAATGGTTGTGACAATTATAGAGTGATTGTATACAATGTTTAAAAATTTAATTTTTTCAATAATTTGTAAATTAAGGAAATTATATATTTGTGGTTCAATATTCTCTAACATATGAAAGGCCCAAAATTTAAATTCTGTGTGTTTATAATAGTCATTAGATATTCGGGTCCAGGCCTGTTATATGTGGTACTTAAGAAACCCAAACACAACTCATTTAGTGTCCACACATGCACATACGTTTTTATTATTTTTTTATTTTAAAAAGTGAAATGAAAATGTGGTGATATTTTGCCTGACTTGTCATTAAGTTGGCATTTTAACCTTTCTCGTATTTCACTTCGGAGAAACTGAAGTTCTTCTACTTTCCTTCCAAAATTGAATCCATACAAATTACTGCCAAATTTTTTAACTCAGATTAGGATTTTTGCTCGAATCATTTACATTGGGAATGTGAGATCTGATGTTGTTATTGAAAATGTGTTTGAAATCTGAAGGATTCTCAGATTCTTCATCTAATGGTGTCAGTATGAAGTCCAGCTTAGATCTATCATTAGTGAGCTTAGATTTTGTATGTCGTTGGGAAATCTTCTTGCTTGAGCTAAATGCTGAGCTTCGGCATCAACAGAACTGGATTATTCATTAGAATGCATATGCATTCAGTTCGGTTTAGATCTATAAGGTAACATAGCTTATTCAACCTCTTGTTAGCTTCGGAGTTGTTTGAATCGTATATATGAAACTATCAGTCAAATCCCATTTATATGATTTGAAGCTTACTGTTTTTTTTTTCCATTCGTCAAATTTCTATTGTTCGAGCTGGGATTGGAGCTGCTACTGTTACAACATCAAAGTTATTGTTGTTTTTGGGACGGTCAACGGGAGCTAAAAGTTGTTTGAAATCTAGAGGAATTCAATATTCTTGATCTAATGGTGTCAGTTTGATTTCGAACATCGATCTATCATTACTGAGCTGTGATTCTGTATGTCGTTCGGAAATCTCCTTATAGATCTAAAATCTCATCTTCGTCATCAACAGATCTGGATTATTCATTAGAATGCATATGCATGCAATCCGGTTTAGATCTATATGGTAAAATAGCTTATTCAACCTCTTGTTATCTTCGGATTTATTTGAATTGTAGATATGCAACTATCAGTGAAAGTTTGATTTGATGATTTGAAGCTTACGTTTGTTTTTTTTTTCATTGGTCAAATTTCTGGTGTTTGAGCTGGGATTGGAGCTGCTACTGTTTCTACAATGTTGTTATTGATGTTTTTGGGACGGTCAACGGGAATATAAAACTCAAACATCCAATAAAGGTGAGATAGTTTCTTGAAATCAAACTTTTTTGTTATTACAATTTCAGATGGAAAAAAAACTTCATTGCAAAGATTTCCTAGTTTTTGGTGGCTTGTTTCTGGTTACCAGTATTTGCATGTAACAAAGATTTGTGGTTACTTCACATCAAGGTTTATGGTTTTTGGTTAACCAGAAACCAAAAATTGCAATCTTTTGTATAAAAATACAAATGAATTTTGAGGTTTAAATAATAGATTCTGTGTTGGAAATTATTAGGTCATGAACATGCATCATAATAATTCTATGCAAAAACAGAATGCCAAATAGTGTCACCTACAAAACTTCTAGGATCAAATATTCTTTATTAACTGCCTTGCGAGCATCTATACGAAAACCTAAAGTTATACCCAAAGGTATCTTCTTCAAATCCATCATGTACTTGAGATCACCTTCAATGACAAACCGATATGGATTGTCATTTATCACAATTCGATGTATGTTAAGTGCAGGAACTCCATCATAGTACAAAATAGCATTTGTGTAATCTTCTAACTTTAGTCTTCGGACTATATGCCAAGGTATCTCCTATAATATAATGAAATAAATAGTTTAGAATTGACACATAATTAAATTGGTTTTGACTTGTAGTAAATTTGTAGGTATAATATGGTTCATACTAATCTGCTATGAGAAATCACAGTTTCAGTCATTGTTGCTGAAAATGTGTTCTGGTCACCGTTGCTGCAGAGATAATCTACTGTGTCAACTTCACCTGAATGTAAATTTAGATTAGTATTAAAATATGCATTATGATAACAATATTTGTGATATTGAACTACTAAGTGAAAGATTATAAAATACAAACCTTCAGATGTATCCGAACCAACCATGTCTAGGTTGCAACAGTAGCCTTCATTGTTGTAAAGCCTTAAATGGAATAACAGATTTCCAGTGTAGACAACAATTACATTGACACATTTCAGACTATTGTAATAATAGTCATGAAAATCTTCCCAACTCGGCCCTTCAAAACCTACTGTTTCATTATTTAACTTCATAACCATGAACTTCCATTGATTGTGCTTCAGATCAATACAGTTTGCTGTGGTTAGTTCTGAAAGCCAATCAATACCATAAAAGAAACGTTTTTCGATAACCTGTAATTGAATTTCAGTTATTGGTAGTCCTGATACTATATATTATAAAACATATATTTACATTAAAAGGTTAAGATAACATTGGAAAAGCAGAAACAGGTGTATCAAGAATCTAAAGACTTACAGCTTGTTTGGATGTGCTATCATTTAAATTCAGTAGATAGCAGTTACCAGTATCTGCATTGACATCTGTGTGAATCCTTTCACAGTCATCATAAGTAAAATGAAATAACTGTATCACATTAGAAGATTTGTGATAAACAACATTAAATCTGGATCTGGAACATACACCAAACTCCTGAAAAAAGGCTTCCAGATTAGATCCCCTTATCTGACATCTCCTTTTCTTAGTGATATGTATGTTTGCAAAAAAAAATCTATTCCCTTGAAATTGAATTTTGATCTGTTTTCCAACATTTCTCAGAATTGAAGTTAGGTTGCTGCTAAGGATTTGTTAATTTATATAAATATAATGTTTGTCAGTAAGAATGCATGAAAATAAATAATAATCATAATACAAATAAATAATGATAAAAAGGACTTACCAATCCTTTCCTGCGGATGTTTATTGGTACACTAACCAATTGATCATAGGCCTCTTCCATGGATTATATCTATATGTAATATAAAAACTGAAGGATTTATGGAATTTTGAATATCTCTATACTGAAGGATGTACTAAAACAGACGTCTCTCAGTTGTATATAAATTGCAATCTTTCTTCTGACCCTTCGTATTCAGAAACGTGTGTTGACTGCCTGTATGTGAATGGGAACGGTGGTTTATAGTAGTTTGCATGACTGTTGTCTGAGGAATTAAATATCTATAATTAGGGTTAACCCTAATTTGTAGGGCTCAGTATTTATTAATAGCTTTTTTTTTTTAAGAATAAAATATCCTTTCCAGAATTGTATATACAGAGTACTGTAAAGATAAACATTAGATTTGTTAATTACTCGTTATTACAATAAATAAATTCAATTATAACTTCGTAATTTTAATGATGGTAACTGTCAATTGTGTTTTAATCTGATGGTTAAACATATATTAGCTTACTGAATATATTTAAAAAGTATATAAATTCATAGAATTAGGATTTCATTAAATCTAAAACATCTTAAATGAATAACCAACTCTACATTACATTACGTAGAGCTTCCTTGTAAACAACATTCATTGTGCGATTTGATTGCGAACCGTCAGGGTTGCAAATCAAGACCTTCAGACCTTTTTTAGTTGTCACCCTTGACAGTGCCACATATAGCTGTCCGTGGCTGAACACTGGTCGAGGCAGGTATATACCAACCGTAGATAGGGACTGTCCTTGGCTTTTGTTGATCGTCATTGCAAAGCAGACTGCTGTAGGAAATTTTCTCCTCTTTAGTCTGAACGGGATACTATTATCAATAGGAACAATGTCCATCCTAGGAATAGGCACAACATGGCCAATGTTGCTGCCCGAGATGACCCAACTCTCTATCACATAGCGTCCCATACGTGTAATCTGAAGCCTCGTTCCATTACAAAGACCATTCCTTTGATCAACATTACGCAGCAATATAATTGGAACATCCTTTTTCAAAACCAATCTGTGATTAGGGAGACCTGAAGCCTTTACACTGTTGAGGAATTCAGGACTGTATACTCCTTGATCACATTCAGAACCTGGTCCTGTTGTTTGTTCAGAAGTACTTGCATTTCCTGATATTTGTCTATAAGCATTTTCAGAGTTGCATATACTGTCTGAACTTAGATATTCTCGTTCTTCTCCAGGCAACGATTCAACCATGTAATCGTTGATCTTGCCAACAACCTCATGTGTAGGTCCAAGAATAGCTCTTTCCTGAAACCAACCTGGTTCCTTCAAATTAGCCAGCAAGTTTGGATATATAGTATTGACAATAACCTCAATAGGATTTCCCGGTTCCTAGATAATTACATCTGCTAGGAACTCAATTTATGCTCCACCATCGTTTAGTTCTGAAATCCTTCCTTCACCAACCTTTAGTAACCAATAAAAAAACTCACGTATTTCCTGCGGATCATCAGTAGAATTTCCAACACGTAATCTCATGTTAACAGTCAGCCTAAGTACCTTACATTGTTGCCATAAATATGATGCATTGATTGCAGACCTAACTATATCAGCTCTAGTTCCCTTTGCAATAACTGGTAAAATCTGACGGAAATCACCACCAAGAACAACTACCTTGCCACCGAAAGGTTGGTTTTCACTGTTTGGATTTGAGGATCTTAGAATATCCCTTAAAGATCTGTCCAATGCCTGAAAACAGTGCTTATGTATCATAGGTGCCTCATCCCATATAATAAGTTTTGCCCTCTTTAATAATGCACAGAGATCGCTTCCTGGCTTAATAGAACAGACGGATTGATCTGTAATATTAATAGGAATCTGAAACCTTGAATGAGCCGTCTTACCACCTACAAGAAATAAAGAAGCAATTCCGCTTGAAGCGACGTTAAGCACAATATGTCCTTCCTTACGAACTGCAGCTGATAGCGTGCTCCATATATACGTCTTACCTGTCCCACCGTAACCATATAAGAAAAAAAGTCCTGCATTTCTATTTTCAACAGCAGTTAAAATCTCATTGTAAACGGATCTTTGCTCATCAGTCAAGTTTGCATAGAGTGAATCATGCTTTAATTGAAGCATTGGTCTGTCATAGTCAAGTTCATCATGTATCATGACATTGTTTCCATTTTCTACTTACACATCCCCTGGGTATGGCATGTCTCTAAAATTTTTCAAGCTTGAACCATGAGACCTTAATATAAGCTCGATTTCTTTAAGTACATGAATTTTTTGTTCTTCTTCAGATGCAATGTAATCTGCATATGAAATAATATTATCTATAATGAAATAATTTTAAATGTTCCATAAAAGTAATGTAATAAAAATACTGTATTATCTGTACAAATTAGATTCAAATAGTATTTTTTATTACCTGGTTTCCTGTACAATATTCTGAGCTTGTTTTGGATATCACATGTGAAACACTCCCACGTCTCTTTCCAAACTTTTTCAGCACTTGATAGGTAATTAGCTTCCAGTAGAGATGCAAAAAGATTCCTGCAATAGTTACTTGTACCCCAAGTAGATGCTTCTTGTATGCAATCAATATATTCTTTGTCATCATCCAGTAAACCTCTTACAAAGCAAGCTTCCTTGAATGTTGAGTACTCAGTGCCTTCCACAATTCTTATGTCCTCAAAGCATGTTAGACCTTTGACTACATTAAGAAGAACTCTCATGTAAAAAGGTTCACCTGAAGCTACAGGGACTCTATGTATCCTGCCAATACTTGATCCTTTTTTCCTTAGGACCCAAAGTTTTTCTTTTTTCTTCCATACGAACTTGGATGGAAAATTTATATAAGTAAGGTTTCTTGCTTCAGGATACAATGTGTTAGCCTCCATCCAACCCAAAAATTTTGACTGTTTGGTTGAAGCTTTCACAGCGACATCTTCAACAGTCTGATCCTCATCATAAACTATACTCTGTTGGCCAGGCATATGGAAACTTAAGCGCTCTACAGAATGTGATCTGTAATGAAGCTTAAAATTAAGCATTCTCCATACAGCTTCACAACCAGATAGATACCTGCCCTCATACCAATCTCTGACTTCATCTTTTGGACCATTATCATATTCTTCTCTGATTAGCTCCCCATTTCTCGTATATTTAAAAGAAACACGATCAGATCCTTTATTCAAGTATTTGAATAAATACTTTATAGCCCCAGCTTGATTACACCATTCGACATTTATATGTGCAGGGTATCTAAGAGTCAAGTAGCAGTTGTAACCAACTACCCATCTGTTGTCAAATGTTGAACCATTTTTTTTCAAAAGATCTGCCATCATCACGTCTCATATAATCAGGAAATCCATCTTCACCTATGCTTGTAAAATTTTTAAATTTTTTGGGAAATCTCTTAGAACATTTTCCATCCACCATACATGGACTGTGAGGGAAATCATCACCGCAAGGTCTATGGATCATCAAATTAGTTACAAACTGATATAGGACTGGGTCATTGTCTTTGTCGGGTAGTTCCGCACTTATATATTTAGTCATATCTTCTGCATTTGTTATTTTATCATCCCGATGTAGCCACACAACTATGTGTGCGTGTGGGAGACCTCTTTTCTGGTACTCAATAGTGTAAACACTTGCACCAATGAAATTTAAGAAATGGTGAGTAATATGTTATGCAATGTAGTAATTAAATTTATAGGAATATGAGAATTTTAACGCTTGAACTTATGATGTAAAAGTACAAATCATTGGGAATAATATGTTTAGCTTCTTCTACACGACCAAATACACGCTTATCTTTAATGTCCTTCATCAGTCTATCAAGTTTCATGTTAAAAACCCTTGAAACAATATCAGGCCTATCTTCAAGCTTCAATCCCCTCTTTTTACAGTACCTAACAATTTCAGGCCACTTGTTGTTGCATGTAAATGTTAGGAACACGTCTGGGTAGCCGAAAACCTTCACTATTGTCATTGCATCAATATAGTTCTCCCGTTTCCATCTGTCGCCTCTAGTGAAAGAGGATGGCAGTAAAATCCTCTGACCAATGTTTGATGCATCATTGTTGCCTGTTTATAGAGATCTTCTGATGTTTTCATATGTTTTACATCGTAGTTTTTTCTGATTTCTCTTCACAAAAAAGATACGACCAGGTTCAACTGCACTGTAACCATCAACTAAAAACTGTTGGGAACACCTCCGTGCAAACAATAGCATGCTACCATCATCATTCCTTTCCATAATACGGAAAGCAAACCACTCTCTCATACTCATCCATTTACGGGGACTCTTGTACTCTTCTTCTTCATTTTGATTTTCCTCTTCATCATCATCATCACTTTGATCATCATCATCATCAGAATCAGTGTCTGAATCTCCTAGTTTTATATTGATTCTGAATCCGTCTTCACCATACGGAAAAATGATCGGGTACTGAAGTGCAAGGTATGAAGGGTGCAACTCATTTATTCTCAGTAATTCTCTAGACTTATATTGAACAATAATGTCTCTTGTCTCAAATTCATTGTCCTCATCTCCTAGAATTATAGCTGTTACCTCATCAACTGTTGGAATGTTGTATCTTCTTGCATCCGTTTTCCTAGCACTAATAAGCTTAAGCTTTATTTCTGTTGAAGAGTCCACCTGAACTGTGTCACGTACCTTTCTGTAAGTCTGTGCTAGGACATTGTGTTCATCTAATGTTTCCTTTATGTCACTAATAATTTGAGCATCTAGTGTGCTCAAACTGTCTCCACTCTAACCAGAACTGCAGTTCATAACATAAATATAGATAAACAAGGCGTTATAACTATATATATATATATATGAAACATTTGGAATTATATTTAAATGGAAAATCATTTCTTCAGATATAGTAAGAGTTGTACCTCAGAGCACCTATTCTGTTATTGACTTCATTCTGAGTGTCATAAATATACAACTGAGGGAACTTAGGGATTGAATCATCTTGTGGGAGAAGACTACCCATTAAATGACTGTTGTGTCCCTGCATTTTGAAAACAAATGGAGCACGTCCATTGTTTATGGTGCTAACAATTTTTCCTCCCATGGACGTGAATGCAAACATATTATTGTAGGCTCGTATGTTATCTAAAAAGTGTCTGCTTTTGCTGTCATTAGACATAAACAACTCCTTTAATTTTGAAGGTGGTTCCTCGAGTAAGGGTAGATGGATTTTGCCTTTCCTGCAACATATTGAAAATGTGGGGATTGCTGGTCTCCTTCTTTTTTCAGTCCTCTCAGCATACCACATGTTAGCCACACAGAATCTACATACATAATCTGGATCACCAAGATCATCATAAGCTGCATGAACATTTTTTGTTTAAAAAACTATTTTACTGTGTTTAAAAATATAAAAAAACTGTTATGTAAATATAAAATACCTGCGTTGATTATATTAACCTCATTTTGTTTGACTTTGTACTTGCCAGGATGCAATACGGTTTTCTTCAAATTCATTCTAGATTGTTGGCACTTGCGCTTCAAACCTTTTAGATTGGTGTCTGATGTTGCTGTGTAAAGAGACCACAGTACATGAATGTTACAAATTCAGAGGTATGTCCTATGTTCCTATATCTCATAATCTATGAATTCTTGAAAATTGAATTATTATTATCATTTTTTAATTTGTGGAGAAATTTGTTTTGTTGTTGGTACTTATGTTTAAATATTTTCACCATAACAGTAATAATAACTTATATAAAATGGATAATGATTGATAATAATAAAGCACCTACCATTAGAACTGTGCCTTTGCAGTGCTGAATTATTATGAGTTTTTGAAATTGAATTATCTGTATTAGATATGTTGAAACCACCCATTCGAATGCATAGCTTTGTTTGAACAATCTTCCCTTTTTTTTTATCCAACAATTCCTTCTTTTTCATTCTAGGATTCTCAGAGGTAGAACTCCTAAATGAAGTTGAATCTGTACACATAAATAAAATATAAACATATGCGATCCACACTTCACAAAAACTTATTAACAGTAAAGCCAAATTACGTACCTTTTGAAATTACAGAAGAAGTTGAAACTGATTGTTGGTTCACATTTGGCATGAAAAACGGATATTGATTGTGGTGTGTAAACATGCGGGAATGTCGACCGTTAACAATTTTGCCTTTTTTATTATTCAAAAGTTGACGTCTGAACCACCGACACTCCTTTGGAGTAAGATTCAAGCTATTTCTTAAAATCTATTTGAAGAAACCATCTATAATAAATCTGTAAATCACCTTTCTCCTTTGATTGTTTATGATTTGGGTTCGATTCTTTCTGGCTGCTTTGGCTTGAATCTTCTTTCTTTTTGCCTGTAAAATTTGTGATCGGTTTTTTCTGGCAGCCTTTGCTGACATGTTCACCATTGTTGAATTGTTAAACTTCTGTGAATGTGTCAATGTACATTTAGATGTTGTTGAACTTGTAACATATGGTATTTATCTCATGTTTTTAAGTATTGATCGTGTTTCAGCTTTTACATCTGTAAGGAATCTCATTTAAATGATTAGATGATTTTGATTGTGATATTTTAGTTGTTATCTGATTTTATCATAATCTTCATTTTAAGGAAACTATTTCTACTAAATATTTTTAAGACTGTAAAAGTATTTATTTTACATAGAGTTTTATCTTATCTTTATTAACATAAATAATTACAAATCAGTTGAAGTCATAACATTCCTGAATAAAATAATTTCATGAAGAAATCTCATATATCATAAGCAAAAGTTATTTAGTTCCCACCAGACATTTAAAACAACTTTCAATATTTTGAAACAATTCAAACAATCATGATGAAGATAGATCTAGGAAATCTCTGAAATAGAAAAAGTTACATCATTCTTTCTGGGGTGTACACTTTTGACATCCAGCATAAATTTAAGAACACTTACTTTTGGAAACTGATTATCAAGCATCAGTGTGTTCCAATCCCCACAATCTTCAACTGGGACACCTTTTTACCATAATGCAGTGGATTGTATGATTTATGGAACTCCATATTATACATCATTCATTAGTGTATATGATAGCCAAGTTTTTGGTAAGGATATTCCTATGTTGTCTCTAGAATTCAGATGGAATAGTCTGTAAAAAAAAAATTGGGAAAAAAATAAGTAAAGTAAATATGATTAAGCTGACATAAAGTAAAAGGTATAATATATTATTACAATGGCTTTATGCTGGCAGTGGTTTGGGGATCTCGAAGCAGTCATCTTATGTGTTAGTAATAGTAGGCTTTTGTTCAAATCCCTCTTTACTGAAAAAATGCATAATTAATCGCATTTTTCCAGTATAGGTGAAAATAGCAAATTCAGAATGTTGTACCATGTTGGCATGGTCTTTTAAAAGCTTATCCCATTGAGAACTACTTACAACCAATCTTGCAGCATTCTCATGAGGAGAATATGCTATTTGATTGATATATGTACGTTCTCCACAGACAACCGACCAGTTTGAAAAATAACCAATGTTATCTGCATGATCTTCTGTGATACAACTACTTAATCCAATCGGTAGAACCTGTGTGACCAAATTGAACAAAACTGAAACAACATTTTTACATTTCCATAACTGTCAAAATTAAAAAAAATTACAAACAACATACCACTTGAACTTTGATGTTGTTGATGTGATTCCATGACATATTTGGTGTTGGACTGTTGCTGAGAACATTATTTTTATCAAACACAAAAACATTCATAATCCCTAATTCCCTCACAATAAAGTAGAGTCCCTGATTGAGAACTAATTTGTGAGCCTTCACAAATTCATACCAATTGTTTCCACCAATCCTCACGTGTGTCCAATCTTTATTAACGAAGCCACTGACTTTGTACTCATTATTGTTACTGATCAATAAAATCTCTTTTGATCTATCTTCATCTTGAATGAGCAAAGTTGAAGGCAAAGAAATTTCCTACATCATTTTTTAATTGATGATAACAATCACAAAAGTTTATTACAGATGTAGTATCAGAAATACAAACTGATGAAAAATAAACTATTATCAGAACTTAAACATTACCTGGAAGTAGGCAAACCCTAGTTCCACCGTCACAAAACACTTGTTTGACATTGTTCCTTGTTGGCTGTCGGATTTTGTTCAGAAACGTAATGTAAGTTGCAGAAGGAATTTGTAAAGGGGTGGCTTATTGTATTTTTAACAGTGATATTAAAGCCAGTAATATATGTGATTGGGAATATAAATATGGTTAACCCTGATTTAAAGGGATAACAATCAATTTTAATGTATTTAGTGCCAGTTCTGTTGATAAGATTATATTTTGTATTCACACTGATAAGATTAACACGTTTTTTTTTTCAGTTTAAAAGTTTTTTCATGTAATTTACAACATTTCTTACTCTGATGGTGAATTATATTAAAGTAAATCTTATCAGTGATTACATATTTGCAGGTTTAATTATTTTTGCTTCACAATCGATATATTTGACTGAGTTTTCAAAACTTTGAAATGCGGATAATGAAAAAATTTAATTTTATATTGTGGATAAAGTGTTTATTGCTTTCATGAAAGTTACAAAATACTCTTTGTTTTCAAATTTTAAGCATTATGGAATGATCTTAACATTGAACATTCGGTAAAACTAAATTAAAAAACACACATGTAAACTATCTAAGAATCTGAAGTGCTTAACAATAAAGACCAATCCTTGTATTACATAAGGCAAAAAATGATCTAGTTTAAAAAGCACTAAACATGGTGCTTATAAATTATTAAATATATTAAAATCCATCAAAGGAGAGTTCTGGCTGTAGACAACAACATCATACATATGATGTAGTGCAGTTTTGATTTGGAAATTTAAATTCAAACGAAAATAAGATCAAGAAGAAGGAATTTTCTTCAGATTTTCCCGACACATTTATTATGGTGGGATTTGACACTCTCAGAGTCCAGAGTAGATTTAGACTTCTTTGGTGGGGGACTATCAGCAGTATCTTCCAGAGGAGTTTCAACATCAGTATTCTGGATATTAACATCACCAGTACATGATATAGCAGTCTGCAAAAAAATACAGGTAAGAAAATGTATGTTTCGGTTAACTGGAGTATATTTTATAATCAGTAGTCCATAACGTATGCAAATTATTTACGGATCACCTTTGCAGTACTATCATCTGTTTGGGTCATACTGAGCCCAAATTCAATACTGGTTTCTGCATCTATTTCCTGCATTATTACAGCATAAATGGAGTACATGTGATATGTGAGACATTATATAATTTGCTTATTTGTTATTTTGCTGGTAAACAAAATTAATTTCTACAAAAGTGAATATTTAATGATAATTACCAGATCTTCAGCTACAGCTTGTAGGTACTGTTTTATAATTACAGCATCTGTAGTAACCCTAGCAACTGACATTTCACTGTCCATGTTATATTAAACTGTGAAACATCAAGCTTGAACAAACACTTTTTTCCTTTAAGTTTGTCTAGCTTATTTGGATAATAAACTCCTGGTTCCTGTAGTTGTGGGTTTTTCAATCAGAATCTATTGATAATGAATATTAATCCTGTAAGTAAAAATATAGACTGATACCTCTTCAAGGAGTTCAGATGCATTCTTGTTAATTAAATTGTAAACTTGTGTATCCCATAAGGTTACTATACCACTGCCTGATCCATCAACAACAATTGCCTGTATCTTGAACCTGTCCATGGATTAACCAAAATAATATTAGATAGTGATTAAGTGAAAAATAATTTCTGAAATATACAGGCATTGGATTGGTCATTTTCGTGTGATGATGATGATCTTACTTTTGAGTAACAGCAGAAACAGAACCATGTTTGCTGCATAGAACCTTTTTGATACCTTCACCATTGATTTCACTGGTGACCTTTTTCCCCTTGACACGTTGATTACTTTTAGGCAATCCTACCAACCTGGTATCAGTGTCTTTACCTATTTCTGTGACCTTCTTGTTGTAGTCTCTATATCCTAAGTAGCACCAATCAAACTCCTTCACCAATCCAGTAATTTTAGCAAAAGTAACCACATAGCAAGGCTGTTTGAATTCAGATCAACTTAGTAGTTAGATTCTTACAACATAGACATAAGATTTTGAAGAAAAGTTTTTGAATATGTCATTACCTCCTCTAACTCCTTTATCTCAGACAGAGTTAACATTGATGCATCCTTCACAAAGTCTTCATAAGTATTGTATCCAGATATGTTAGAAAGTATAGAAATCCGCTGGACACTTACATCTTTATCCTCAATATCCTCCAATCTATGAAATACGAATAATATCATGAATTTGGACAAATAGGTAGAATATGATTGGCCAAAAGATAGTATACAGACACATTTATGTAACAGAACCTCATTTTGTATTCAGAAATTGCAGGCATAGACATGTCATTTAGGAAGATTCTGCCATTGTACATATTAGTGGTGACTGAAGCTCTTACTGTTAAGATTTAAAAGACAAAGAAATATTGAAGTCGGCAACAATGTATTTAAATAAATGGAAAGTTTAATTTGGATGCTAATGAAATGACTCACAGTTCCACTTTTTGTATTTCACATATTGCACAATAAACACCACCGGCATTACTGGATGATCAGCCATCATTGCTGATATGGCATCGGCATTTCCATTCCACAGGGTGATCTTTAACCTATCAGCCCAGTGTAAAATTTCATGATTGTTCAAACTTATTATGTTACTGTTTGGATATCTATAATGATCATATTTTAAAAATAGATATAAGAATGTACCTCTCATCCTCCAGTTCCACAGATATCCTCTTTTTATCCCCATCAATGATCGCCTCACTAACACCAATAACATGTCCAATAACATCTAGATTAAACAAAAGATTTAGTAAGGTTGTTATGTTTAATGTCAATCAAAACATAAATTGTAATAATATAAGGATAGAAAATATATACCAAGACAGAAATCAAAATTCGCAATGAAATTTGATATCTCAGCAAAAGGAGTGAATTCAAACACATGGTTAGGAATATCCAAATCAACAACAGCATCAACAGCATCCACAGTATCCACAATGGTGTTAGGTTCAAAGACGATTTTGTATTCGTGTTTTGAACAAGAGTAACCACCAACAATGTTCAAAGCATGATCAAAACATGCTATTTGCCGAAGACAGCCTTCTTCGAAGTTAGTGATAAAACTGTCCATAAAGCTTTTAGGGATGGTAGCCTGGATTTTTCCACCCTATATTCGGATAACAGATTAGTATACAGTGATGTAGTTGGTTTCTATACACTTCATAGTAATTTAATATTTAAAAAGATCACAATGTGTTATACCTGAGCATCAATGAATATGAGTTCAAGTGACTTGATTTCTTTCTTATCTACCTTCATGTACATCTTCTAGATTGACATGACACGAACTATGATTCTAAAGTGTGGAGTTTTGGTGCTTATCAAGCCGTTAATGTCTGCAATATATCTCTGAGCAGCAGCCATTGAAAGGTGATGAAGAGAAGAATAGGTGCCAAAGTCAGAAAGAGGTGATTCAGCGTTATTTGATGCTGGTTGACTGGTGGCTATAACTCGTTCCATATAAACATATTTATACAGGTATATTTCATAGCCTTGATAAGCATGGTTGGTTGATAACAGTTGATGGCTATTAAATATGGCATATTTTCCAAAATATGATGATCGGATATGCACAATTTTGGTTACATGAATTCCCGGTTTATCATGGTTGTATGATGATCAGGATACATGGATATATACGCATAATTTTGGATGAAATTTGATTTATGATCTTGAGTATAAATGTTGATTGATTTATGCTCTGAGTTTTACTGATTTGTAAACACAGTAAAAATGAATCTGGACACAAACATGGCTTGATTCGTTAATGCTTGGAGATGGTAACTGTAAAAATTTGTGATCTTTTGTAGGGCTTTGAAACCGGCAGAGATAATTGGGAGGGCTTTGAATCAGGGAGAGATAATTCGCATGATCTTCATCATAATTGTAGTTTCTTTTTTAAAATTTAAACTCCTATTTGTAACAGTTTAAAGGGAAGATTACCTGGACTGTATATATCCCTTATATTGGGGAGGAGTTATTATAACGTGATTATGGTGTGATCTTTTTAATTTTATGGGACTGTTTTTTTGGAAACAGTTTAAATGGGAGATGACCTGGACTGTATATATATCCTTATACTGGGGAGGATTTTGGGGACAGTATTTTAGGAGACAGTTTAAAGGGGAGATTACCTGGACTGTATTTTTTTTTTACCTTCCCGGGTGATAGCACCCCTTGCCACGTGGTGTATTTTTTTGCGAAAATCCTTGAGTTTTTTGCTTTAGGCGGGAAAAAAAAACTCTGTGAAGATGATACGTGTCCTAAGTGTTTATTGCTTTCATGAAGTGTAAAGGGATAGATAAATTTAATGACTAATAAGTATAAGTATTATAAGAAGTGTTAATAACAAATTCTCTAACATTTAAAATTTAAATCAAGAATCCTCACCCGAGATGGTTTAAGAATTTTGATCACGACAAAAACTAATTAAAAAATTTATTACTAAAAAAATTGATGCTCTCGGTCAAAGTGACAATTCTTTCTTCTCCGACTGTTTTTTTTCAAAACAGAGCACCAATAAACACTGCAGCCACAACAACAGAGCCATGGAAACAAGGAATCTTTAAAAACAATCTCTCTATCCTCTTTTTCTCTTTATTTTTTGAGCGACATTTCTTCCAAGAAAAATCTAAAAAAGTGAATCTATTTGTGGAATCACAAACTGAAGTAATGGGATGAAAAAGTACGGTGAATCGACGGTACCAATAAGAAATCCACCTCTTCAAGATTCTGATTTTGCTCCTTGTATGCCATAATCTTTCCTTGGAGTTCAATTTCTTCAAGTTTCACAATCTGTGTTGTCGTTCTTTTTTCTTATTTTGCTTTAAATTTAAGCAATTGCTCCAAGATCGGTGGAACTGATAGGATCGAACGATCCACTTCTAAACGATCCCGCCGACTCTAGTTCTAATTCCGCTGCAAAGATTGATATCGATTTAGTGATCCAAGATCATAGGATTGTACGATTCTACGATCCTGGATCACGATGTTGCAAACTATGCCTATCACTTCTTTTCTTTTCTTAAAATTACTCTGCTGCAGTCTTGCAAGTCACCACCGGTGCCTCTAAGTCAAAACCGTACATATTTGGAACATATAGAATCACCGAAAGATATAGAGCAACCAATGAAGAGTCCAGGGATGAAACTGTTGCTGACCCTGCAGTGGAGCTGAAGCTATAATATGAAGTTGTTGGATAAATTCAGAGCTTAAAAAGGCAATTGATGCACTTGTGAATCTACAAGGTAGCAATCTTCTGGTTTCTGCCCACAAAAGTCGACACTTTGTTCTATATATAACATCTCGCCTGAGTCACTACTTCCATGTGTTGTGCTTGCAGGCCTAGACCCTAGATGATTCAAAATCAATGATTTATGCATCTTTTTTCTAGTCAATTGGGTGCATAGAAATTTGCTGCTATCCATTACTAAGTTGCTTGTTCCAGAAAGCAAAAAGAAACACCATATAGGCTTGCAAATTTTGGTTTTGATTGTACCAAGCTTTTGCATAGCCCTTGTTGTTTTTAACAATATTGGTGCTTTCATTCTTCTTGGTGGTACTAAATAGCCCAAATACATGTGTAATTTTCATAAAATTTAGTTAGAATAGCCTTAAATTATACTCTAATTTATGTTGGTAATGTGTGGAAAAGAAATTTAAAAGAAGACAATTGTGAATACTAAAAAAGTAATTTTGAAAAAAAAGTGAAAAAAGAAAATAAAATTTGTGTAAAAATGATGTTCTTTTTTTAATAAAAAATTTCATTAAATTTTTTTTTCACAAAAAGTACTTTTGAAAAAGAACTAACCGAAATGGCTTTTTAATATTTTTAACTACTAAAAAGGGTTTTGAAAAATTCTTGTCCAAATGATTTTTATTCAAAAAATTCTCTTTCAACTTTTACTTCAAACAGATATTTCAAAATAGTTTCTCAAAAATCTTGAGCCCAAATATTCTTTTCTAAAATCCTATAAGTTAAGAATACATTATTAAGGAATTCGTAAACTAATTCATGCTTTAAGGAAAAAATACATACATCCACACAAACAAGACTATTAATATATTATTAATTTTTTTTTTTTTTGGACAAAGATGGTATATATCTATTCCTTTTGCTATTGCTTCTAAGTTTCCAATTGTAGAGTAATTTGTTAAATGCCATTTCAACTTAGAATAAGTAAGAAATTACTATTGATCCCCTTTTTAGACATCTAGAGCGGGATCAAAACTGCTTGTGGGGGTACTGCTTAACTAGCTTATCATGTTAGCTGATACTTGGCAGATCTATTATGCAAGTTAAAAATAAGGCGCTAGGTTATTCACATGGTTACTCTAGTTTCCAATGAAGGCGTCTCTGACTCTTACATCAAATCGTCAAAATAGTTGAGAAATCATCCCAACTATCACCATTTTGTTGTCAAATTGGTGATTTAGGATATGTTTAAAAGAATTGTACCTCTTCAACTCAACTGTTCACATTTTCCTTAGGCCTTTGTTTCGCTTCTTCGATTTCAAAAAATAAAAAAAAAAAAAAATCCAATTTATTAAACTAAAATAATATAACAAACTGAATATCTTTTTGGAGGTAGTACATTACTAACAAACAATTAAAAACACATTTCAAACGCATCCCAAATCATGATCAATTGTGGATACTCGACTATATAATTAATAGGAACCATTCTATGTATGGATATGTCATAACAATTTGAGTGATCATGGAGGGATTATCTGAGAGAGCCAAGAGTTGTTTAGTAGGTATTTGTTTGCGAAAACACGGGGATTGTCTATTATTATAAACTCAAAACAAAGGTAAAAACTTTTGTTGCTATGTTTTGATCTCATTCACGCAAGTAAAACACAACGGTGGTTGAACATTTACATCCACTTGATGAGATAAATTAGTATCTTAGACTTTTATCTTTTTCATTATATCCAAAAAAATAAAAATAAAAATTAGAACCATTCAAAACAACATATACGATAGATATAACCTCTAAATACTACTCCCTATATTCTAGAATAATGATTTGGTCTATATTCTTAATTATGTACAAATATACTTAAAATGAAAACTTACATTGAACAAATGGAAAGAGTGTCGCCGCGACTATGGAAACCGTTGATGTCTCCGACTCCGACTCCTCGCCTGAGAAGTCGGACTCGAATGACAAGAATTACAAGGCAAAAATCCCCAAGCAGGAAGAAAACATCAGGGAGACTTCAAAGCATGGCTATGATTTGAGGGATCGGGTTCAGGTTTCTCCCCCACGCCTCCCCCCCTACCGGCTTCACTACCAATTTGGGCGTCCCAAAGGTCTCGTTCCCGCCGGGCGGCTGCTGTTAAGAGGCCACGAGAGCCTTCGCCGTAGCCGAATCTTTTCCGAACGGCAAAAGAGTTTCTCAAGAACGCGGAGGGCCAAAGGGTTGGGATGGAACTTAATATTGAAATAACCTATCCGAATAGGAAAATTGGCTCTATTTTTGGGAATCTGGCACGTTTTTTCAACGGAAAAAATTATCTGTACGACAGCACAAATGCCAATTATCTTAAAGCAGAGATGGCAAAATCTCCGGTGGGGAACTGGTCGTGGTTCGAGGATTTGGTTGGAGGCTCTAACATCGAAGGAATCAAATGTGGAAGATTGTCTTAAATTTCTCTCTAATTTGAAGAAATATCAACCAATGCTTGAAAGTATTTGCAAACAGGCCAGAGCGAGTGACAGGGGAGCTGAGAAAGAGGCTGGAGTTGCTTCTGGTGCAGCAGAGAGTGATAGGAGATCTGAGACACTGCCAGATAATCATCGATCGCAATAGCTGAGCTCGCTGACGACATTACTCAAGTGTGTAACTCAGTAACTGTTTCTTCTCTATTTAATGTCAACATTGTGGACACTGGTTGTGATTATAATATCATTTTAAGTGGAGATATGGGTGTCCACGTGTACAAGCAAGTTGTGGAGATGGTGTAGTCAGTGTTTAGTGCTAATAATTGTAGGGTCGAATGGATATATAATAATATGGTGTGGCTCTCACTCCTGAGTGAATTTTGGTATTGACAGACGTAGTGGATCGACTACCTATTATCCTATTAGTATTTTGCTATTAGTATGGTTGCGTTTATGGCTTTAAACAACTATTTTGGTATTGACAGCTATTTTGATATGGATTGGCTGCTTATTATTCTATTAGTATGTTGGGCTTGTTTAGTGAATTTTGCTATTGACAGACATGTAGTAGATCGGCTGCTTATTACCCTATTAGTATGTTGGGCTATTAGTATGTAGGGCTCGTTTATGGCTTTAAATAGCTATTTTTGGTGGAATAATATGTAATGCCAAGATTCTAATTCTAGGATGGAGTATGATATTATAGAGCTGAAACTCTGGTTATACATAAAAAACAAAAAAAATCAAATGTAACATCTCCCAGAAAAAGGGGGAAAACCGGAAAAGATGCAACGTATACGTACCATTCGTAGACTATGCAATGTAAAATGAGTATCGTATAAAATCCGGTATTCATTTCCTTGTCGTGATGTAGGAAATTTTCACCTTCCATGGCCAGAAACGAAGGTTTTCAATCCTACTATAAAATCCGGTACATGTGTATTTGCTGGCTCGAAATTTCAGCCTGCAAACATTGGTGTTTGTGCACACCGAGAAGTATGGGTTTATCTTACGGCCCGTTGCGTTGATGTAATTCTTTTGTCAGACATAGTAGTTAGTGGAAATTGGAAAATCGTTTGGAGAAACAGCCCAGAATATGAAAATAATCATGCCAGTAAGTAATAAGTCGTGTTGCACAACTACGCCATAACCGTAACAACTTGTTGAGAAATTATTTATGGGTCATGGGTCACGATCAAAGGTTTCTGAGTTTTATCCGTTTGAGATTTTGTTTTAATGACCCATTGTTACTGAGGAGATCTCTTGAGGAATTGTACCCCAGTAGCCCAAGCAAATGAAGAGTAGTGTAGTGTCATTCTTGCAAATTCTTCATGTACATTATGCTCCTTATCGCCTAATGACAATAAAGTTTGGAAGTTTATTATTTCATTTTCTTTCATTTTTCAAAGGGACCATGAATCTAATTACAAAACGACTATAGGAATGTGATACTATGTTATTAACTAGTACAATTCAGTTAACCTATTAAGAGACGCTGACAAAATATTCTTATTTAACGGGCAAGGTAACCCGTTATTTATTTTTTTAAAACAACAAATAATCAATCGTCCTAATTGATTGAATAAGTAAACAACTAGCATCATTCTTGCATTTTATTCAATAATTACTATAAAGCGCAGGCCGCAGAGTAAAGTATAGTCTAAACTAGTAAATTAAATTTAGGTACCCATTACAACCGCTATCTAGTGCTCATGTTGAGTCCGACTCAAACAGTCCTTAACTAGAGCCAAAAATAAAAAAAATAAAAAAAATAGTCTTCATAGAAGTCTTAACACTGCTCAGCCCTCTCTTTACTTGACAGAGGAGTGGGTTTTCCCAGTGTACGTATTTCCCAATTCCCACCAGTAGGGGCTCCTTGCGAGGAGGAGGATATATTATATATGTGGGACACAAAAGAGGGGGTTCATATCATCATAACAACTACTTCCAAAATGATTGCCTATTTTAACATTTTATTTTTAGTACAATTTATGCTAGAAGCAAAAATTTAATAAAAATTCAAGTTCTTATAATAATTTGAGGCAAAAAAAAGAAAATACTAATTAAGCCTTCAAAGCTCACCGTCTTTTTCATTATCTGATTTGAGTTCGATAGACCATATCTTTTAACTCGCACAAATTTATCTTTCTCGCTTTTACAATTTACAACAACTATGACCTACTAAACACATAACTCTGGTTTCGACGACGTCGTCTCGAGAAAGTAGTAAGGTAATAAAATATAAAGAAACCTAAAACTATGCTTGAATTGTATTTTTAATATGTGTTTGTAGATGTGGTTTTTTTTTTAAATTAAGAATACGAAAAAACTTATTGAAAACGTAAAAAATTATGTTGAGATAAAAATGAAAAAACCATTGAAAAAAATGAGGGTTCATAAGTTACATAACTAAACCTCTCAAATCTTATATTTCCTCCTTATCATCATGGGTTTTGTTGTAAAATTCAATGCATCCCTTCGACATCAAACTCAGGATTGGTGGTTTTTTTCCATAGTATCCTATAAAAAATTTCAAGGAAAGTTTTTCACTATTTTGCTCTTAAGTTTGCTAGTAGGAGTAATATGGACTTAATTTCTCGAGATTAGCCTTTGGTCACTGTCACTGTAGCTAATTTATTTCATCATTTTCACCCTCATTTTCAACCTCAATGATCATCAGACCCGATAGGAAGTAGGAACGTAGCTAATTAAGCGCTAGCTATATGTATAAATGCTAAAACAATGTCTTGACAGTTCAATTCATTTGACATTTTGAGTGTTTAAACAACCTCATATCCAACATATGAAATCAAAATACTTTCTCTCCCAAAATTATTATTCAGTTCGAGATTTCATTTTTAATACTCCTTTCGTCCCACAAAAATAGTCCACATTGAATTTTAAATTTTGTACAAATTTAAAAACTCAATTTAGTCTATTTTTTTTGGGACGGAGATAGTACAATTTTGAAACGGAGGGAGTAGATTCTCTAAAGAGGGGTTAAAAGCTCAATTGTGGTCAATGTGAAAGGAAATAAAACTGGTCTGATTGGGAATGCTTGCACCACCAGAAGAACCGAAATAAACTCGTCAATCTTAGTTTGTTTCGTTTCACTTTATACAATTTAGAGAGTGAAGGAATCGAAAATCTCGTCATATCTGTCATCGAACTCAGTAAGACAGATCAAAACGAAGTGGTCAGATGGGCTATCTGTTAACATTGTATAGGGGTCCAAATTCAACACAAAAATCATTCATCCATTTGGTCTTTGTAATTATTTTGAAATAAAATAAATAAAAATAACTTCAGAAAGTCATGGTCGAAGAAATGCAACTGGGGTAGCCTCAAATCAATGAATATTAAAACATTCCATAAACACCAGCAGCAGAGCTAAAAAAAAATTTAAAAAATAAAATAAAATGAAAATAAATCTTTTCCATTACAAGATCTTCACTGCTGTCCAAATTCAATGGCAAAACTGTCGTATTTTATTTTGAGATACAAATCAGCAGCATTACCTTAAATCCTACTGTCTACTGCTACGGTTATTAGCTCTAATTCTCATTTTGAAAACTCCAAAAAGCCTCTGTCATGCTAAATGAGTATCCGCCCACCACCTTAGGCGCATAAAGGTGGTTACTTTTTGGCCACCCCAGAAGGGGAAAAAAGAAACCATTTTGTTGGTTCTTTTTGTTGTTTTAGACCTCCACAAAGTCTTTTGAATTCAACCCATTTGATTTCATCCCCCTTTTTTGAGCTCCCACAAGCGCACTCTGCCTAGCTTATTCAAGGTAATCTTTATCCACTTGTTTTGCCTTTTCTGGGTTTGGTTTATGCCGCTGCTGAATTTTTCTTTTATGTTTTAAGTTTGTTTTGTTGGTGGGATTGAATGTGGGTTCAATTGTGTTTCCAAGTTTGAATCTTGTTCTTCATTTGATCAGGGATTGTTTTTTTACACTTGGATTTTTGCTTGTTTTGAGCTCTTTTGGGCTGGATTTTGGCTGCCTGGATGTTTTGCTGGTTTGCGAATTCGTTGAACGGATGCCCTTTGTTTGATTTAGATCCAAGTTAGGAGAAGTTTGCCTTATTAACGTAATAAACAATTAAAGATTTAGCTCTTACTGGAAAATAGGGCAATTGGAATTGGGACTGGTTGCCCTGATAGAAGAGTTAAAAAAAATTTAGTTATCAATGTGGATTATGCACACCGGGTAAAGGGGTTCGTGTTGTAAATTTAGGATTTCTTTCCTTGGTAGAATCTCTCTGTTATTGCATTTTGGGAAATTTTTGGTGATATCTCATTGCTTTAGCCCAAGGGTTCCTACTATTAAAATTTGTGATTCTGATATGTTAGTGTTTTTGTTTAAAATTTGTGTAAGACAAATTTTCTCAGATTCAACTTGCTCTGCCCTATTCCTTAGAGCTACATTTTCCTGGATTTTTTTGAACTGAATAATTGTCAAAGTAATTAGCTGCTCATCTGTTTGCTTAAGTTGATTGTTGTCTGTTATTAGGGAATTAGCTTCTGCAGTAGCATTTTCCCAGCCTATACCATTAGCATATTTGAAAGCTTTGAATTCACTGTATATTTTCGTTTTTTCGGTTGCTTTGTACACAATAAGAAGCTTCAAGTTCTTATGAACAGTTGACAGGGTAAAAGGTCCCCATGATACTTGTGACTTTAATGGTTGGACAATATTGTGCTATTCATGAGAAAATGATTGGGGCATTTAACTACTACCTTTTCACCTATACTAACGCCAAACTAACTGTCTCAATTTTGTTATGCAAAAAACTTTCAAGCTCATTCTTTTTAAAGGGAAGATTTGATGTTCTTCTATTGTACTAAAGCATATACAAGAAGTTACTGACAACAAACTAATTTTCAGCTTTTGTGGGCAGCAAGTGTTATTCTTATGACATGGATAAAGTGTCTCCCGATTGTCCGTATCCAGGGTGCTTTTTCTGTGTGATGAAAGAAGGCAACCCAAGCAAGCGCAGAGCTAGTATATTAAAGTTCTTCAGGGAACTTCCATCTCAGGATGATGATGGTCAGGTTCTCCCTATTAGTGGATTATGGAATACTGCTATGGCACATCCTAACGATCCTGAGTTCATTGAATTGGGGATATTTGAATGCATGGCAGCTCTCATATGGAAGGGTTTGAAAAACCGTCGTTGGCTCTCACATGACCAGAATATTTATATTCCATATTATGCAGCCCATATAATTGGATCCTACACGATGAATATGGAAGAGTTTGCTGAAAGGGCTATTCGGGCAGGAGTTATTCCACCCTTGGTTGAGCTTCTAAGAGGAAGGTTAACCTGGGTAGAACAGAGGGTGGCGGTACGAGCTCTAGGCCATTTGGCTACCTATGCCAGCACTTTTCCTGCTGTTGCAAGTCATGGTGAAATTCTTGAGCTTTCGATTCAACTTGCGATGAGTTCACTTGAAATTGTGTACTCTCATTTTTACCAGTATGTTGACAGAAGGCTTAGTTATCATTGTGATCTTCTTACGCGTGGCATGGGTGGTGTTGAAATGGAGTCAAGGAAGGCGGAGGAATGGGCTAGTCAGTTACAATGCTGGTCTCTTCAACTAATTAATTGTTTCGCTTTTAAACCTGAATTTCTTCCTGCTATATGCAAGCCAGAATTTCTGGTGAAGCTTCCAGGTATGTGGGGTGGCCTTGTCAATGAGAACTCACCAGCAGGAATTGGCTTACTACGAACAATCTGCCATCATAAGCATGGTAGGGGGCCTGTTGCTAGTTGTCCTGGTATTGTGGAGGCATTATGTAATATCGCCCGCTCATCAGATGACTGGCAGTATATGGCCATCGATTGTCTTCTATGGTTGCTCCAAGACCCTAGCACTTCTCACAAGGTAAATATGCTAAAACAATCATGTTTTTCAGGTTTATTTATGTCTACTCTTTGACATTTCCATGTCGAGATTTGATCCTTCTTGGAAGATTGCATGAGTTTGAAAAACACCTGGAGCTTCTTAGTGCTTATGTCTCACTATAAGCACTTTTTGGGATAACATCAAATTGGGTTGACCTTTATATTTTGGCAGATATAATTGTTGCAGTTCTAATGACAAGTAATACCCTATTGATGATCATGCTAAGTGAAATCTGGTTGTCTGACATTTGAAGTCATTGTGCTGTGATTTTTTTTAATGATGCTTAACTCTATCCTTTCATGTATTAGAGTACAACTTTCTTTGTACTTGTTTGTTGGGAGCATTTCAAACTACAATTAAGTGTGTTAAAGGTGCAAATTTGCCTCCATGTACTTATATGACATAAAATATAACCATTTGACTACACTCTATGCCTTTTGTTTATTGAATGTGGTCCATTTACTATGTTGCGGATGAAAGGTTCAGGTTACTATTGCTAGTATAACTTCTAAAATGGGATCAAAGATGATTAAACGATGAAGTTTCTGCAGTTTCTGCATTGTGGCTGTGAAGAGTTCTTGGAAAACTTCCGGAAAACACATTTTTTCTTTTCCACTTTTGTAAGACTAAAAAGCAGCTTTCATGTTACTGGAGATGTATCCTGCGACTTAGTGGAACATTTGCGTGCACCTTTATTTTTCTGTGTCTAATTGATTTTTGCTGCTTTGCAGGTGATGGATAAGGCAGTACCTGCTCTGGTGGATCTAGCGGAGATCTCGAGTCTGGGCGAGCACAAAAAACTTGGAGAATCCATTATTAATGCTCTTCAGGAGTGTGTTCAACCGCAAGGATCAGGACGGAATTCGGTTAGTGGTCGCACAAAAGAAGAGGTTGAGGAACTGCTTAGCTCTAGACAGAGACTTAAATGGGAAAAAAATATGCCCAAAGAGGACCTTCATATTAAACAGGCGGCTGCATTGGTTGTCAAACTTGAAGGGAACTCACTATTTTCTTCAGGGAATATATCAGGGGCTGCGTCAAAGTACTCGGAAGCATTGGCATTGTGCCCCATGAGATCAAAGAAAGAAAGAGTTGTTCTTTACAGTAATCGAGCTCAGTGTCATCTTTTATTGCAACAGCCCTTGGCTGCTATAAGTGATGCTACTCGTGCACTTTGTCTACATAACCCTGTGAATCGGCATGCCAAGAGCCTTTGGAGGAGAGCACAAGCATACGACATGCTTGGGTTAGCTAAAGAGAGTTTGTTAGATGCTATTCTGTTCATCAATGAATGCTCTCAGTCAACTGATCCAGATCTATCCCTGAGACAGAACAAAGTTCCTGATTATGCTGAACGTTTGGTTAAGAAGCAGATGCGTGCAGCTTGGTTATTCAGGGAGGCTGCTATAAAACATGGGGGTGTGCACGGCGAGGGTGCTGATGGCGATGTATGTCAACAAGAGTCTGACGATTCTGAATGGGAGACAGCAAGTGACAGTGATGCGGGAAATGATGTCAAAGATGAATTGGGTGACGATGATTATGAGTGGAAGGATGACTTTGAAAGAAAAGACAAATACGATAAGCAACCAGCAAAAGGTATCACCATTTAACTCTCATAGTGATGTCTTTGTGTATTCAAAATTTAATGGATTAGTGTTTGAACTTGGATTAACCAAACCGTACAAGAAATTACATGGCCATGCATCATTATTTGAAGAATGTTTTATTGTGTTTCAAGTTTCTTATCCTAAGATGACCTGATCTGACACAGATATGAAGCGTGGGTATAATGCTCAGCTCACTGAAGAAGAAGAAGACGAGGAGTAGTTCTTCTATCCGAGTATCGACTTCCTTGTGTAAAGTATGTATGGAAAGATAAGAGATGGTTAGTTGAACCTTGTAAAAATATTCATCGAACGGTTCCGCTTGTCAAGCTTCTGATTCCAAATGGTGTCATGGAATTTTTCTGAAGGCCTGTTGACATGGCATCTTAGTTTTGCTAGCTTTGTTTCTACAATTGTGTTTGCCTAAATATTTTTGGGTTTGATTTTTCCTTATTCTAGTACGGGGAGAGTTAAGCTGTTGAGGTTATTATTGTTTTCATGGCGAAAAGCTGGGATTGCTTTTCTGATATTCAGTCAAATCTGTAAATCAAGTTGTACATCTTTTTTCATTTTGGATAAATCAAAAAATTGTGATCTATTGATTTCTTACACGTTTAGTCACCCCTCAAATGACTAATAGGAAGCAAAACCATTCAGTTACGCAGGTCATGTATAAGTACCTGCTCCATTACTGAGTCTCCATCAAAATTCAACTCCCTGTATATATATCTGCTTCAACTCCACGCACCACATCATCAATTTTAGTACAAAATTTAAACTTGGTCAATCGTTTTGGGGAACAGAGAGAGTAATAACTACAATAATTTTTTAAAAACTCAGTAATTTTTTAAGAGTTCTAATCAATATCAATAATGGAATAGGAAAGGTTTAGCCGATATGTACATGAATAGGATTTCTATTTTCTCTAAAAAGAAAAGTAAGGAAATTAAATATTTAAATATGTATATGGCAGGGATCGATGGAAACCCAAAAAAAAAAAAAAAAAGTGGAAGGGGAAAAGAAAAATCCTAAACGGAATACAGAAGGTTTTTTTTTTTTTTTGGTAAAAGGTGAAATATATTGAATATAACCAAAACTGTGACATATTTACAAACTCATCCCAAAACTCATCTACTTTCAACTACTCAAACTATACACAGGCATTCCTATTCTGTTTAAATAACAAATAGGGAATATTGGCGGAAAGGTCCGACGTTTGGCTCCTGCTACCGAATTCATCCCAACCTTTTTAAATTGATCAATTATATCCCAACGTTTTAAAAATTGGGTGCAACAGTCCTATTACAGGCTAAACTATGCAATCTTACCTGTGTTTGTCGGTTTTTTTCAACTGTCCCATTTTTTTATTGTCAAAATTCATAATGGGCCCACTGATCGGCATGAAGAAGCAAAGCACCCCAAATTTGCCGCCAAAAAAATAGAAGAAAAAACTACTCTAACTGTGTGGCCCATTCCCATGATCCTCACCTTGTTAATACATTTTTTTAAAAAATTTATAAAGGAATTAATCCCCAATTAAATTGCATGCAAAACCCACTCATTTGACTAGAATAATTTTCAATTTAAAACTCCCCAATTTCAACTTTATTAATTACTCTCATTTTCTCACCAAAAAAATAAAAAATAAAAAATAAAAATCAGCTCATGGTCATACCCAACTCCATCATTTCTCACGCATCACACACTAAACAGCACATTTATTTTCTTTCTCATCACCAAAACTCCTTCACTCAAATTATTACTAATCTACTGCCTCCCACCTTCAACCTCCAAAGCCCACAATAGAATAATATGCTACATCTACAACTCAATTAATTTTTGAATTTGAGCTAACAAATGAAATTTAATGTGCAAGATGATTAATAAGAATCGAGCTCTATTCATGTTTTCGACAAAAGCTCACAAAACAGGGCATCACAACAACAAAAGTCATACTAGTGCTATCCATTCCTCAACACTAACATTGGAGTTGATCTATTGGTTCCCTGTGCCAAAATATTTAATCATACGTACATTTCTATCCAAAAGTACATTCAAACTAGAAATCTAGCATACAACTTGCTGAATTTTAGTTGTCATCTGCCTTTCTCTTCTCGCAATTTTCTAGTCCACTCTCAATTGCAATTTCAGAAAGAGCAAAAGGGCAGTCAATACCTTGGAGCAACCACTCTGGATACTTCCCAGTCTTTGTAACATATTCCTCCACATTTTGCCTCAAAATGGCAGGCAAACTATTGTAGTTAATTGCTTAATTTTTCTGTGATTTTTCTTCATCATCGATACTTTCGTCAATTAATTGAAACGAAGACCGTGATTCTTCTATACTGATCCTACTTTTTTGGCATTGGCAAGTGGTGCCTCAGGTTGAGACATGCTAGCCTAATATACGGACCATCAAAAAATGAATACAGACACAATTACAATGAAAACTCAATGGTAAAAGACTTAACAAACATTATTGAAACTACTTTTTTCCTTTTCTTTTTGGTTTTATCAGCCAAAGAAGTCTGCGGTTGAGACATAGAAATAACCTACCATGAAAGTCACTGTTTAATTGATCCATATTGGAATGACAAAAGACAAGATGACTAGTTAGATGATGACAAAATACAATGAAGCTACCTGATTTGGTTCCTTTTCATCTTGTTGCTTTCTCTTCCTCTTTACCTGTGCCAACATGTGGGTTAACATCACCTATTGGTAGTAAGAACTCAATAAGATAATTTATGCTTTCACAAAGTATAACAGTTATAAATACTTACATTATTTTTTGCTTTGCTTCCCAGGTACTCACAAGTGACACTGACAATGCTTTCGACACTTACTGCATATGACTCATCAACTCGTACCTGAGCTGTGAACAATTCTCCATGCATTTGCTGTCTAGTTTCTGCTTTCGAATTGCCAGGTGCATTTTCTGTGTGTAAAGTGCTTGGCATTGTTGGAAATTTGATGTCACAAGTTCTCCTATTGTGCCCTACACCATCACAGGATGCGCATCTTTGGTGTTGACCCTTCTTGACAATGTGTGCTTGTTTTTATTTTTCTTGTCAATGATAACCTCTTGAACTGATTTGTATCTGGCCATCTTAGGTCTTCCAGGTCCCCTTACAAATAGAGGGGGCAAAGGAGGAGGCTCATTCACCTTGGCCCATTGTTTTTCACCATTCATGGGTAAGATGACTGGCTCATAAAATTTCAAATATGTCTCTACAAAATAGCATTCATCCACGAAGTTCCTAGGATCTTCGTGAATTGCCCATATTGCAGAAATTGCATGTGGACAAGGAATACCACTTAGTTGCCACTTCCTGCAACTATACTCCCTTTTATCTAAAAAAACACTAAATTGATATCCTATTGAATCAGTCACTTGAATAGACACATTGTTACTTTTCTTGGCCTGGCATTCGGTAGCCATCTTGGTATAAATTCCAAGTCTTTTGTAAATTCTAGGGCATTTCCATTCTCGGTCCATTTCTCAGTTGCCCATTCCCTATTCTCCAACATCCTTAGGATCACGTAATCTTTAACACCTTCAAATATTCCAATTATTGGCTCACCCCTAGCATTTACAATTTTTGAGTTGAATGATTCAGAGTGATTGTTCAATAGAATGTCGCAACTATGAGTGTTAAAGTATGCTCTAGACCACTGAGCAGGTGGCTTATCTTTGAACCATGCACATGCCTTGCTATTTAAGGTTTCTAGTTCATTCATCCTTTCTCTATACTGATTTTCAGTAGTTGCCTTTGCTGCATTCCATAATATCCTCCTTAGTCCATGTCCCTTGAATCCACCATGCTGGAAGTTTGGATGCATATGTTTTACACAAAATCGATGATCAGCTCTAGGGAAAACACTTTTAACTACTTGGATTAGCCCCTTCTGCTTATCACTCATAACAGTCCATTCAAAATCATAATCAATCTCCAAATCACCTTTCAGAATTCGCAAGAACCACTCCCAAGACTCCTCGGTTTCACCTTCTGCTACAGCCCATGCAACTGGATATATACCATTGTTTGGATCAATTCCAACAGTGGTAAGTAGCATCCCAAGTCCCTTTGACCCTCCTTTTAAGAATGTTCCATCAAGATAGATAACTTTCCTGCAACCAACTAAAAATCCTCTCTTCAATGATGCAAAACACATATACATTCTTTGAAATCTAGGCTGGTTTGTCAAAGGATGCTTGAACTCATCACCAATTTTCAACAAACATGTGCTTCCTGGGTTACTCCTAAGAACCTCATTAACATATACATTCAACTTCTCAAATTGGTCAGCTTGGTTCCCAAAAGCAATCCTCATTGCCAATTTTCTAGCTTTGTATCCCTCGTAATCAATCATCCAAATACTATATTTTTTCTTGATCTTTTCAATAAACTTTCTCGGTTTGATCATCGGGTCCTCCTTAACAAACTCAACACCAGCTACACCAATCCAATCAGCCTTCACACAAGGATTGTTTAATTCATAAAGGCAGGTATGTTGTGTAACAAATCTAGTGACAGTAACTTCACCAGTGGTTTGGCTTTTAGTTACATAAATCTCCCAATCACAATTAGGACAGTAAGCACTAACTCTTCTGCCATCCATTTTATCAAACTTCCACTGTCTACTCCTTAAAATATTCCAACTCTTTATTGCAAATTTAGCATCAACCAAACTCTTTAAAAGTGTTCCACATTTCAGGTCTGGATTAAGCAGGTCTACATCACCACTGAAATGAGAAGGTGGTACAGCATTAGCTTCATCATCAGACCCATGCAAATTAGGCATTTCATCATCAGAATCAGGAATCACATGATTCCCGCCACCCCAATCATCATGAGTCTCCAAACCCCCAGCGCCTGTAAAGCGATATTCAATTCTAACCCATTCCCCCCCTGAACCTTCTGCATCGACATGCCTACATGTACCTTGCTTCTTTCTATAACTGGTACCAACTCTTACTTTTGATTTGTTAACTTCACCGGTACTTTCACTATTTGTTTACCATTATCATCTCCCTCTAATGCATCATCACACATTGAATCATCTTCTTCCTCATCTGGTTCTTCTTCATAATCTCCATCATCTGTGTCCGAATCATATTCAGAATTGATTTCAGTCCATTCCTTGACGATTTTCTCGATTTCTTCACTTTCATTCTCTGCTTTATTCATACATTCATCCTCAACAGGGTTCTGATTTTCTCTCACCAAATAGTCATTACCTTTCTTAAACATTTCCTCATCATTTTCATCTAAAACATACAGATTCATATACCTGTCCCTTTCAAGGCATCAACACAAAGTACTTCCAATCTTGCCTCGTCATCTATTTTCTCCAAACTAAGCTCTTCACTTAAACAATAAAAATAAATTTTTCCTTTGATCCCTATCCTCTGAACCATACAATATAAGTCCACAAGAGTTAGATGCCCCAGATTCACATTATCAAAAATACTGAAGTCCCCACCATTATAAGATGGGAATGGTTCGGATATTAACTGCCCACCATAGTCAAACTGGATGCTAGCTAACTTGTTTTTCTTATCTGTTAGGCAATTGAACATAAATGAGGAGACATACTTAATAATTCAATAAAGCTTTTACCTGAACTTGAATAAAATAAACACACATGCGATCAAAAAAATTAAAATGAGAAATCCAATACACATCAAGGAATAGTAAAAATTATTTTAAGAAATTCACAATGTCCACTTTAACCAGAAAAATATTAAAAGATGTAGTTACATGGACAAATTTGGAATGACGAGAACACATGCTCACATTCTGTGCTCTCATTCAGATCCCAAAAACAATCCAATTTTTTGTTTTTCTTTTTTTTTTTTTAAAAAAGCACATTGTCACGCACATGCATTGATCTTTTTTTGAAGCATCTCTTTTCAATACATCCATATTTTATGCAATCAAGGATCTAAAAACAGAAATGATCCCTTCGATTTTATCCATCAAATAAAGCAAGCAAAATATCACGCTATTCTTTAAAGAAATGGGATTTCAATTTAGATGAACTCACTATACAAAGGATTGGGCTTATCACATTGCTCAATCGGCCTTAATTCCCACATCAATTCTGATTCGTTTAGTTTTTAGGCACCAAAATCTGGTATTCTTGACCTCCCTTCTCTACTGGAGTGAGAGTGTGTGAGAATGGAAAAAAAAAATCGTGTGCTTTTTTGAGTTAATTGTCCAAAAAATTATTTTATTTGTGGGAGCCCATTAAGAATTTTGGCAATAAAAAAATAGGATAGCTGAAAAAACCGGCAAACAGAGGTTTATATAGTTTAGCCAATAATGGGACTATTGCGCTCAATTTTTAAAATGTTGGGATGTAATTCATCAATTTGAAAAGGTTGGGATGAATTTGCTAGCAAGAGTCAAACGTTGGGACCTTTCCGCCGATATTCCCAAATAGGGAATATCAGCACTAGTAAGCTTTCTACATACATTTTGCATTCTCCAACTCACCTCCTGTTTAATACTTTCAAACCTATATTTCACAGTCATGGTGCCCTTTTGAAATTTCCTAGCACTTCTCTCAATCCAAACGTAGTAAATACATGCCATTACAGCTGCACTTGCTGCTTTCAGCTCATTTTCCTGAACTTACAGCCATTCATAACTCTGTCAAAAGCCTATTTGAGTGTTTTGCTTCCTGTTTTAACTTCCAGCCATGTCATCACTTTATACATTAAGCTTTCAGAGTATACACATTTAAAAAACAAATGGTTTCCAGACTCAACCACTGCTTGGTCACACATCAAACAATCCTTGTGATCTGATTTGATACCCATTCTTTCTAACCTTTCCATTGTCAACAACCTATTCATGAAAGCCAGCCATCCCACAAAGCTATGTTGAGGTACACATGATCTATTCCAAATCAGATTTGCTTCTTTAAAATTTTCCCCCTTATTCCTCCACTGGTGATAACCTCTTTTTATGGTGTAGTCTCTCTAATTGGGGAGCCAGATCCCTCTGTTTACTCCTTCTTGCAGCTTCATTTTGATTTCCATCAATTTCTTCCAATGCCATGAACAATCACTAGGTGGCTCATTATCCCAAAACACCTTCCTTTGTATGTAGTACTCATTTATCCACTTCACCCATAACACATTCTGATGAAGCGCTATATCCCAGATTTGTTTAGCTACAGCAGCTAAGTTCCATATTCCAGGGTCCCTGATTCCCAAACCACCTTCTCTTTTAGGTCTACAGATATTTTCCCAAGCAACAAGGGCTGTACTATGTCCCATTTGGATTTCCCCCATAAAAACTCCCGACAAATTCTAGTAATCTGTGTGACTACCCTTTTAGGCAATAGAAACGTATTCCCCCAATACACATGCATTGACATAAGTACAGAATTAACTAGTTGGAGTCTACCTGCATACGAGAGATGCCGTGTACTCCAGTAAGTTATTCTTTTTGCCATTTTATCCACTAGTTGTTGACAATCAGCACTACTCCACTTAGTTGGTGACAAAGGCAACCTTAGGTACCTCATTGGGAAATAACCCATATCGAAACCACAAATTACTGTCAGCTGTTCACACATTTGTTCATTTACACCTGCACAGAATATATTTGACTTTTCCTTATTAACTCTGAGCCCGGTGGTGTCTCCAAAAGCCTGCAACACTTCAGTTATACTCTGCACAGATGCCAGTTTAGCTTTACATACTATTATCAAATCATCGGCAAATCCTAAATTTGTAAGCTGCAATTTTCCACATTTAGGATGAAACTAGAACTTACAGAAGGCAAATTCTTTGCCCTAGCATTGTAAGCCTTAGTTAAGAACGTAGGCAAACTTCCTTCCTTTATAACTTCTGTAAGGCATGGAGAGATGTGATCTCCTCCGATCAGGATTTCATAAGGTCTCATCTCCGGAATCAGCCATCCTGAAATGTACCGTTTCGTGCAAAATCGTGTAGTGAAGACGAGATATACCATTTTCATCTTGGTCATTACCGCGAGAGGTTTACAAAGATTGATGACGAAACTATCCTTGCATCGAATACCAGCCGGGGATCTAGAAAACTGGGCAGATTTAGTGGTTTGCTGTGATGGGGTGTTTTGTATTGACAAGAATTGTTAAGATGGTTTTGGGTTGGACTCCATGGTATGCTTATGGAATCCTGCCTTATGCCAATACAATATTCTACCAAGTACAGTAGATAGAGCCTCTTTCCCTATCGCTACCGGTTTTGGCTTTGGTGTTATCGGCAATGACTATAAAGTGGTCAAAGTGTATTCCACGAAAAAGGATCATTTGTATTCTAATGTGGATGTTTATAGGCTGAGCACTCATACTTGGACAACTATTGACTCCCAACCTATTACTATTAAGTATCTTCTGAATTTTATACGTGCAAAGGGTTGATTCATAAGGGGTGTTTTTACTGGACGAATGGGAGGAGCGATGGGTCTAGATATATGAAGTTTGACGAGTGGAGACAAGGCCGTATTTATTTTAATAAAGTTCAATTGAGTCCTCATCAAGAAAATGCCCGTCAACGAGAATGCTTTGTATTGCCTGATAGTGTAGCGCAATTCCTTATTTTGGGGGTTATTTTCCCCGTACAATTTTCAAAGGATGTCTTTCCATTTGTGGTTTTGTAGAGATCTATACCTTTAGTCAGGGACGGACCTACAATAGGGCCTGCAGGGTCCGTCGGCCCTGCGGCCGATCGGAGAAATCCCTAGTAAGTATCTCCGATTTGGTTTCCGGTGTCTGTCAATTGAGAACCGCCCCTGCAAAAGGAAGCAGCTGTGGAGAAATAATATCAACGAAGAAGAAGATTCCTTTTGGGTTGGGGCATTTTTCTTTAATTAAAGGCCTGCTTCTTTATACAATTCATATCTTGGGCTTACATCCAACCTTGAGCCCGACTGCCACAGACTAGGATTGTTTGACTAACCATAAAAGAAAAGCCATGTTAACGAAAATATTTTGGCCAAATTTTTTTTTTTAACAAAAGAATTCATATTTAAGAATGGCTATAACTCGAAGAATGATTTGAGGAATGCATTTTAGATAGAACTTAAACACATTCAAAATTTATCCAATTCATATTCATTTTTTTCCTCCAATACTCAAGAATAATAGTTCAGATTAGCCCCTGTAGATTTGGAAGGTTGGGTCCGCCACTGCTTTGAGTTATGGTCAATGGTAAATTCCAAACATAAAGAATGGATGAAACAAAGTGTTGTTTTACCTAAATATTTGTATCTTTCGTCCGGTCTTCTCATCACCGTAAATAACAAAATCGCAGCAGATGATTATTCAAAAAATGTTGAAGAAAGGTCCCTAGTGCTTTGTGATATAGAGCACGGAACGGTAGATAAGATTCTGCCACAAGGAGTCCCTAATAACTTGGAGGCATCCTGGTGGAGATACTCAATTGCTGACAATTATATGGAAAGCTTGGTCAGTGTTGTCCCCTCTCCATATCACAAGACGCAAGGGGATCAATTTTCAACTTCTTCTGAAAAAGCACACTCCAAATAGAGATTGTTGGATAACAAAATACGATGGATAACAATGTACTTGGAGGTTTGGCCAAAAATATATTTGGGGTGCTTCAGGTGAAAGAGTGCGCCCCTATGGAATAACCTCACTTCTAAATTTCATCAGTTCGGAAGATTTATTTTTCCTTACTAATTTTTGCACTAAAACTTTTGGAATCAATCTTCATTTAGTGGTAGGTTAATGGACTTCTTGTTCGTTTCAATAGATAAACTTAATACTGTAGCTTTTTTCCTTTTGAGCTGCTGTATCTTCTAGTAGTTAGTTTTCGTTAGTTCACTATCTTTTGATATGCACCGAGATTCTAATAGCATTAAAACAGTGTTAACAAAATTCATAAAAATTCATCGTTGCGGATTAATTAAAATAGCATTTTTGTTTGATTTCTAATGATTGTCTAATTCTTATATTATTTTTATCATAACTAACAAAATAATCATTTTAGGGTAGAGTGAGTAAAGTTTATATTTTGTAACGAACCTATGTATTACATAAAGTCAAGGAGAAAAGACTTGCCTTAGTTGATTTCTTTATTTTTTTTTCCTTTTTGTTTAGAACGATAAACTATTTTAGTTTTCTTGTCTGTTTCAACTAGAACTTTTCTTTTTCATTTTATTTATTTATTTATTTATTTTTGCATATTGCGCACGGTGTCCTAAGTGTATTACACACACACACACACACTAATCTGTACCGAGCCGGGTCGGCATCTTTTCGGAGGGAAAGCTCTCCCAACATTACTCTTTCCATTCACGAGACTCGAACCTGAAACCTCGCCCAAGGGAACCAAAGCACCTTACAATTTTGGCCAAGCAAGTGTTGATTTTTTTTTAAAAAAAATTAAATTTTATAATCTATAAGTTGAAATACAAAAGGTAAATTAATTCTTGAAATTTAGTAATTATCCTAGTACCAACGTATATGAGTTAGGACGCATAAGAAGAAAATCGTAAAAAACAATGAGTAAAAAAATTAAAATTACAAATGAGGAATTGGTTCAGTGGTAACACCACCCTTGCTCTAAGAGCTGAGGTCATGAGTTCAATCCCCACTACAACAAAAAGTGAGGGGTTGGCTCTCATTTTACCTATTGACACCTCTAGTGACTTGTTATCGCTAACCCACTAATGAACCTCCAATTTCGCACCCGAGCTTGTCACTCCGGGCATGCCTAGGATAGTTTACCTCCTACTGTGGTTTGCAGGCTATTGCAGTGGGCGTGGGTTTACCCATCTCTTGTAGGATTCCTGGCGTTATCACAAAAAAAAAAATTAAAATTTTTAAAATGTTGAAATTATCCCTGGACCCAATCACATGCTTTGCCAGTAAACATAGAGTTTAAAAATAAATAAATATTTTTAAATATCATATTGTATGTTTTTATAGTTATGAAAAGTAGTTAAGGAAAATATAATGAAATAGAAAGAAAATGAATAAAAAGTGAAAAAGAATTATTTTGTTATTTTACATTGGAAGTTATTTTTATAATTTTTGAAAGCTATTGGAGTATTTTTGTTAAAAAAACTTACAAAAATCTAACTTTAATGGAACTTGGGCCAATTGGACGAAATTGATGAAATTTTCAAATATAAAGATCAAAATTGGTTAACTGAAAATTTTTAGGGTAAAATTGATATTGAGGGTAAAATTATGAGTAGGACCGCCAATTTTTCCGATTCATTAATATGCGTTAGCTTATATTTATAAAGTTTTCTTTTCTTTCATGCTCTTCAGGTGTAAATTCTTGCAAAATGGACTATAAACTGGGACGAAGCCAACAATCAACATGCAAGAAAGAGCAAACTTTTTTTTTTGGTTAAAATGTAAATTGTATTTATCAACTTCACAAAACTCATATATGTACATGTGTATAATTACAGTTCACACATTGAGATTCCCTATTTCCATCCCTAACCTCCTCAGAAATTCCATCTCCTTATTTTTCAGTTTCTTCTTTTAGCAATAAAATACCCTCCATCTAATCTCCTGTTTTTTTTTTTTTGATAAAGTGTAAATATTTTATAACTTGTGAGAAAAGAAAGTTCATATTTACACAAAAATTGCTCTATTACATGCTGCTACCATAGTAACCTACTTTTGTACATTGGTCAAAATTAAAAGAACTGATATAATAGCTCTTTGGACTTTTAAGCTCTTTTGCTACTCAAATAGTGCTCTATTCTCCATTGAGTCTCCTTTATCATTTCTAGTATCCTCTCTGCTGTCCTTTGTTTAGCAGCAAAGGTTCATGCATTCCGCTCTTCTCACACATAGTACACAGCAGCTGCCATAACAGCCCAAAATATCCTTCGCCTCAATTTTGCATTCTTCCAAAATCAAAACTCGTTCCCTCCATACACTCTGATTACAGGAAATGGTTCGAACTCCCAACCAGCTTACAAGTCTATTCATCAGTTCCATAGAGAAGAAGCATTCAAAGAATAAATGCTCTGCAGTTTCAGGATGGTTTAGACATAAAACACAAATGGGATCAACTTGCATGCCAAACAGCTTGACCATTCTGTCTTTAGTCATAAGCCTCTTTTTCCAGAACAGCCACAGAATAAAAGATTGCTTTGGCAAATTACATCTTGACCAAATGAAAGAGGCAGCAGGCATACATTCATGCTCTCCAATCAAGCACCTGTACCTCGAAGCAATAGAATACATACCTGTTGCACTATGGATCCATCTGTTATTCAAAAATTGAGCCTTGGCTTTCTCTTTCACCCTAAGCACTTGCTTCCAATGCCAGCTGGAATTCTGCTGAGGCTGTACTTCCCAGAAATCCCTTCCTTTTATATATATTTCATGGATCCATTTGATCCATAAGTTGTCACTTTTGCAAGCTATGTGCCAGACTTGTTTCACAATGGCAGCTTCATTCCACAGTTTAGCGTCTCTAACATTCAGACCACCTTTTTTCTTTGGTCGACAAACTTGCTCCCAGCTGACCAGTGCCAAAGTATTCCCAGAAGCTTTAACACCCCATAAGAAACTTCTACAAACTTAATTGATCTGCTGCATTACACTTTATGGGAGTATAAAAACAGAAGCCCAATAATTATTGATGGTCATAAGAACAGAGTTAACCAACTGAAGTCGACCTACATAACTTAAATGTTTCGTGCTCCAGCATCTAACCCTAGTAGTGACTTTTTCCACCAGTAGCTCACAATCAAGATGTTTCCATTTCCTCCGAGAAAGTGGGACACCTAGATATAGGAAATTTTCCCTCCCTGAATCCAGTGATTTGACATAATTGCTTCTTTAACTCATCCTCTACCCCACCAAAGTACATATCTGATTTCAAAGGGTTGGCCACTAAACCTGTAATCTCCTATTTAATACTGAAAAAACAGTCAATCACTTCCGTTTTCTTTCCTCCGAATTTCCTGCTATTTCTTTCTATTCAGATGTGGTAGATTGTTGTGTTTAA